AGAATAAAGAAGGATGTCGATTGCACTTGTCAATGAAGATTAGCTGAACTGTAATATGCTTCAACATTTTAATACGAATGTAAGTATATCTCCTAACTATTTAACGTTATTATTTAGTTGAATGATTGTTTTTGTTGCCAATCTATTGGAATATGAATTGTGTTAGTCTTGCCCAAACGGTAAGTGTATTCCTTAACAATTTAATATAAAGATTAATTAACTTTTGTTGATTTTGTTTTCAGGATAACAGTTGTTATACAAATGAATAAATGTTCCTTAACAATCTTAACAAAAGATCGATTAAATTTTGTGTTTGTTTTCAAGGAAATGTTCATATACTTTACTAAGATAAATAGAGGATGATCCTATTGTCAGCGAATTGTGAGTATGTGTCATTATATATTAGTAGAAAATTCATTTGTGTTGAATAGTTTTCTGTAAAAACATTCGGTATTTTAATTTGTATATGAATGATAATTGTTTATGTCTTGTGATATGCGAGTATTATATGTTAAATGAATTAATTTTGGCTCATTTCGTTTTCCAATTATAGGTGTTTTTGAAATATTTCTATCAATCATAATATGATAATCCCTAAATTTGGGTCAAGTAAACATTCATTTATAATCACACGATTTCGATTTCCACTTGAACAATCATAGTAAATTACCATAACTTACTCATAAAAATCCAATTAGGGAGGATTGAATCTTTAAAAAACTAGGAGACAATGCTTTAATTTGATATTATTATACGCTTAATTTGGATAATGTAGCTCCACTGCCAAACATTTATTTCATATCCCACAATTTCGGGTCCATAAAACTCAGTAGCAAAATTAACCATAACTTGCTCAATAAAAAACCAATTGATGAGAGGTTTGCATCTTTAGAAACTAGCAGACAGGGATTAAATTGATAAATTATACACTTAATTTGGATAAATGTAGCCATACTGCCAAACCATTCCTTTTATCATCACAAACATTTTGGTTTCTCCTGTTTCTCGATTTCCACTGAATAGTCATAGAGAAATTAGCATAACTTGCTAATAAAAATCAATTGATGAGCGATCTAAATTTTGAAAACTAGATAATAGGCTTTAATTTGATATATTCTATGTAATTTGGATAATTGTAGCCCCACTACCAAACCATTCCTTTTATCATCATATATATTTCAGTTTCCATTGAAACAGTCAATAGTAAATTGACCATAACTTGCTCAATAAAACTCCCAATTGATGAGAGGTTTGAATCTTTAGAAACTAGACATACAGGGATTTAATTTGGTATATTATATGCTAATTTGGATAAACTGTAACCCCACTGCACGAACTATTCTTTTATCATCACAACATTCTGTTTCTCTGTTTCTCGATTTCACTGAAAATCAGTAGTAAATGGCCATAACTTACTCAAAACAAATCCAATTAATAGCGGTTGAATATGTAAAACTAGACTGATAGAGATTAATTTGATATATTATACGCTTAATTTGGATAACTATAGACCGCAGCCGAACCATTCATTTTATCATCATACACATTTCGGTTCCACTAACAGCAGTAATAAATTGACCATAACTTGCTCAATAAAACTCCAATTGATAAGAGTTTGAATCTTTAGAAACTGACATACAGGATTTAATTTGGTATATATACGCTTAATTTGGATAATGTAGCCCCACTGCCAACCATTCCTTTTATCATCACAGATTTCAGTTTCCACTGAACAATAGTAAAATTGACCATCTTGCTCAATAAAACTCCAATTGATGAGAGGTTTGAATATTTAGGAACTAGATAGATAGACTTAGTTTTATATCATATGCTTAATTTTGATAAATGTAACCCCACTTCCAACCATTTTTTATCATCACACACATACTTGGTTCCACTGTTTCTCTATTTTCCCTAAACAATCAATATAAATTGGTCATAACTTACTCAATAAAATCCCAATTGTGAGCGGTTTGAATCTTTGGAAAACTAGAAAGATAAAGCTTTAATTTGATATATATACAATGAATTTGAATAGCTATAGCCTTGTGGCTGAACCATTCATTGTATCATCAACACATAAAACCAATTCAATTTTAGTGATGACAAAGGAAACAAATATTGATATACAGATTTAATTGTATTGTTCTATCTCTTTTTGTTGATATTTTTTTGTTACATACATATCTTGAAAACAAATTGTTGCTAAATATAAAAATTTATTTGTATCACAAATATCATCTAATGTTTGTTGCGAACCATGTAGCTTTAGTAAACCATTTATAATATGCGAACCATTATTATTATTCTTAAAAGAAACAAATATTGATATGTAGTTTTAATTGTAATTGTTCTATTTCTTTTTGTTGATATCTTTTTATATTATATACATATCATGAAAAGAGGTTGTTGCTTAATATAACTAATTTCATTTATTTAAAAATATCAACTGTGTTGCTGTTGACCATATAGCTTAGTAAACCATTCATTTTATCATCACATATTTAGGTTTTCACTGAACAATCAGTAGTAAATTGACCATAACTTGCTCAATAAAAACTCCAATTGATGAGAGGTTAGAATCTTTAGAAACTAGACAGATAGAGTTTAATTTGATATACTATACGCTTAATTTGGATAACTGTCGCCCTACTGTCAAACAATTCTTTTTATCATCACACACATTTGGTTCCACTGAACAGTCAGTAGTAAATTAACTTAACTTTCTCAATAAAAATCCAATGATGAGAGGTTTGAATCTTTAGAAACTAGACAGATAGGGCTTTAATTTGATATATTATAGATTAATTAGTAGCCTCACTTTCAAACCATTTATTTTATTAATCAATATTCAGTTTCCACTGAACAGTCAGAAGTAAATTAACCATAACTTGTCAATAAAAATCCAATTTATGAGAGGTTTGAATATTTAAAACTAGACAGATAGGGCTTTAATTTGATATATTATACATTTAATTTGGATAACTGTAACCCTACTATCGATCCATTCCTTTATTATCACAACATTTCAGGTTCTACTTTTCTGATTTTAACTGCAGTCATAGTAAATTAGCCTTAACTTGCTCAAAAAATCCAATTGATAGCGGTTTAAATTTGGAAACTAGAGAGATAGGGCTTAATTTGATATATTATACGGTGAATTTGGATAATTATGACCTGCAATCACACACATAAAGCAAATTCAATTTTAGTGATGAAAAGGAAAAAAATATTGATATGTAGTTTTAATTGTATTTATTCTATTTCTTTTTGTGATTTTTGAGATTGATTTTGTGTTGATTTGTGGGTTTTACAATTATCGTCTTTCTTTAGGATGCCATCATCAAATACCTTTTTGCTATAGGTGGTGGTCAAATAATTGCAGCAAATAAATTTGTGTCACAGGACCTTTACTTCATGGCTTCTTCAATGTTTCAATGAGTTGCCTTCAGATTATATGTTGGAGTTGTTGTTTCTATGTGAGTTTCTTCTCAACATTCTTAATTTTTTTTTTAATTTCTAAAATAACAATAATAAAAATAATTCATTTTCTTCTCACAAATCAAAATCAGTTTTTCCACTCTACAAGTGTCTCGCTTAAAAGTTCACATTTTTCAATAAGGTTTCCTTTTCTGATTGATTTATAGACTTATCAATAGACCTGGAAAATGGAATTAAGACCTGCGGGTCGACCCCCTACGTGAGTAAATTATATAGGGTACGGGTCTATATATAAAACCCGTTTTTTAAGGACCCATACCTGGCCCTACCCATTTGTAAAAGGGTAGAGGGTAAACCCGCAGGTGCCCGTGGGTACCCGTTTTTAATTTAAAGAAAAAAACCCTGGCATTCTTTTGTCTTTCTCTTTCGTAGTGTGTGAGCAGACTACTAAAACACCTTGTTTGCCTTCTCTCTCTCTCTCTCTCCAAACTTAACTTCTCTTCTCTTTTCATTTCGTAGTCTGCCTCTTTCCTATACAAAATCATTCACAATCTCAATCATTCCATTCCCAACCCATTAATTTTCTTCCCAAGAGTTTTCAAAAACCCACTCTTCTTCTTTGCGACTAAGGGGCTACTAGTATAATAGATCCAATTGATGGCGTAAAAAAGAACTTGAATTCACCCAGTCCTTCCACTTTTGGTTCATCAAGACAGGTTGTAGAGCAGCCCATTTCATTTCTTCAAATTGTTTTTCTTCATGTTTCTTAGATTTCGCAGCTTTTAAGAATTTTTCTTTTGTTGTTGTTTGTGTGGTTGAGTTATGAAGAATGAAAAACATTGTGTAATTTTGGAAACAAGTTTTCTTTCTTTTGTTTTTAAGGATTTGAAGATTTGAGGTTGTTTTTTTTGGGTATTTGCTTTTGGGTTTGGGTTGGTTTGAAGATGGTGATAAAGATGATGAGGTGGCAGCCATGGCCCCTCTTGTGAGTTGTGATAAAGAAGTACAAGGTGAAATGGTGGTATAGAGGATGGAAGGGTGGGATCTGGCGCATGAGATTGCATAGAAGAAGGAAGAACAAAGAACAAAGATTAGCGGTTGAGATTCGTTGGAAGGGTCCTAAAATCACTTGAGTACTTTGAGAAGAGGGTCAAGAGGAACTTCACTAGAGAAGCGGCACCAGCGAGTCCCACCACCGTATAGGGTAGGGTACAGGCCTAAAGTATTGGACCCGTTTAGTCGACCTATTTAAGACCCGTACCGCTTAGACCCGGACTGTACCCGGCCCCCAAAACAAAAAACAAACAAGTGTCTGTGCATGTAGTAAATGCATCTATGCAAATGCAATTCCTACACTAGAAGATTGATGCATAATTAACCCTCAGGAAAATGTTGAGCATCAGTAACATGTATCACCAAGTATAATCTTCACTTTAAAGTCTATCAATGCTCTACTCATACCTAAAGTTTTTCTATATCCTTTAGAGTTTATTTAAAGGGGGAAAAAAAAAAAAGAATTTAATAATGAAATAAAATTTCCAAAATAATGGCAAACTTACATCTGCTCTGGCTTCTGCTCCTTCTGGATTTATATCCTGCAACCATTCAACCTCTGCTGCCCGATACCTGCACATAAAATTGTAAGGCATAAAACCTAACCAACAAACCAAGTAGCTTGGATGATATTTATGCCAAGGGTGTAGCAAATACGTTAAAGGCACTGATCCTAGCACTCACCCATCTTGATCCCAAGATCGAAGAATTCGAAACCTCCGGCAACTTTCAATCTGCATGAAATTTGTACCAATGTCCATAAGGATAGAGAAGGAAAAACAAGAGACTGCTTCTTCAAGTCGGGGTATAAAAGGGATATAGCATTCAGGAATCATATTTCACCTCAAGAAGAAACCGTCCATCCGGAAGTGGCTCACACCTGAATTAAGATGAAAGAGAATGTACAGAAGAAAAAAAAATTATAATTTAGCAGAAAAACACATAATTAAGTATCATAATAAAATATATGTTGATCAAATAAATGTATTACAGAAAGAGGAAAAGGAAAAGGGATTGAACACGTACTCAGTAATCTCCACTTCACAAGCAAAATCAGCTATAGAACCTGTGGTGGGATCAATAATGACCTACAGAATTAACAGACAAACCACGTCAACAGTGGGGGATATCTGGTATAGCCGACACACCTTATTGTAAAAAAGGAAAATAAAAGGGCTAGTGAAAAAAGTTACCATTCCCATTCGATGATTACCTTCCATTACTCGCCTCACCTATCGTTCAAGTACAAAAAGGTTAACCAAAATTACTTGCAACAAGGAAATAAAAAAAAAAATGCCACCTTTCTGAATTTATCAAAATAATGCATGACATTCAGCTGTTAAATTAGCAAAAGACTAACCAACTCACCATAAGTCTGTACCGAGGTTCAAAAATGTGGAGAGGAAACTTTTGACATGGGATGACAACATCCATAACAAAGAGAGGTATCAAATCAACACCAAAGTTACTTAAACTATCATGCTCTGCCTTCCTTTCAGCATATTCTTCTGGGAAATTCTTTTCTATAATGTTCTTTAGTGTCACACTGGTACAAGCCAAATAAATGTATTATAATGGTAGAAAAAATAAATAAATCAAAGTGTAATACACAGGACCTTTGAAAGTTTGTGCAAGAAATTACAGCAAAAGAGTAACTATGGAAAGAAGAATATAGCTTCCATGCTCACTGATTTACACATCATCCCAACCATTGCATGAATGGAGAACATGACTAAAATTATGAGGGCTCATAAAAAAGATGATCTCAGTTAGTATCCTAAAGTTTGGATTGTTTTATCATTGTGCTCCTTCCCACAGTCACATATAATAGAAAAAGCAGTGTCAGAACAAATTAAATGCCACCGTTATGCATTAGTCATTCTATATGCACCTAGATCTTCTAGGTAAAACCCACTAGCAAATCCTTTCGGACAAGTATTTATGTAAACAGAATCGATTGGGGGGCTGAACTCATTCCCAAATTACACTCCAGATACCACAAACTTCTGACACAAGAATTCAGTACAATGTTATCATGTGAGCAACTCACCTGATTGCACACGTCCTAGGACTAATAAAGAGAACTGTCCGGCACAATGGACATTTGTTACCTATCATTTAAATTACAAGATCAGAAAAGAATTAAGTGATTTAAATGCATTAATAAAAACAAAATCATCAAATCCAGAATAATACCGCGATCCATCGACTGAAACAGACATGATCGGCAAAAGGAATGCCCACAAGGAGTTGTGATAGGTTCATACAATAACTTCAGACACAGTGTGCAATCAAAATCATCTGTACGATCAGGTCTTCCATGATTTCTCCTCCCTATCAAACTGACTGTAGTCCTCTCCAAATTCTGCAGAGAAGCCTGGAGAGACTCGCTACATATTAGCAAGAAAAAATGCAAAAAAAAAAAAAAATCATCAATAGAACTGTCTTGAGCAAATAATTATTAAACAAATAAAGGGGATAAAAGAATTTCCATCACTTTCAAAATTTTGGAAATAGATAAATAAATGAACAAGTCGGTGAATTAACTATTACATTACCTAAAAGGATCAACTTGAAGACCTGAAAGAATTACATCCCGGGCCATCTCATATTTTTCCAACTGCAAATTCAAAAAAAAGCTGTCTTATGTAAAAATGTTAATATACACAAACACACAAATATATACACACCCATAGTATGCAGACAAACATAGTTACAAATTGGAATAGCCACCCTACAATCAAGCAAGTTATGGTTTGGTAGTATTCAAGCTTGGTTTGCTTGGAAAGAGAAGTTCCAGCCTGACAGATATCTGGCTACACCAGGTTTGAAGCAACCAGAATCAAAACAACCTGAATCCAACCTATGTTTTATAATACTTTAATTATATGCATTTATTTAAATTATATGTCTTTATTTTAAGTATGCTAAACCTAGCATATAAACCAGATGTTTGATATTTTAGTAAGTAGGTTAAAAATCTATCCATATACAATATCATGCCCTAAATGTGAAATAGCTAATCTTAAATCCAATTGATCTTACATCTTTGTCACTCATTGCCTCTGATCCTCTCTTCCCTTACCATGTACAACATCCTCCTTGCACAACATCACCTCTTTCTAAAATCTGTTTACTCATTTCACCATTAAATTGATTATTTTCAACTTTAGTTTTCCTGAAAGCCTTTTTGGGCAGATTTTCCCTACCAATATCATCCTCGCCAAGCTAAACCTAACTCATAACTCAGACTTGGTTGATGTAGCATGTATTTTAGCTGAACTGGCTAAATTTGGGCTTAGATTCTTCACACAAACATGCACACAGAAGTGCAAACTACGGGCACAAATGCAAATACAGTACACAAGTGACAAAGCCACAGAAAGAGAGGTTCCCAAGAATCTTTAGCTGAGCTCCAGTTATATATGAAGAAAACAAATGGCAACTTATTCTTACCAAAATGAGGGCATTGGCCTTTAGTATGTATGATTTTACTAAATTACTCTGGAGGTTCAGTAGCTTCTCAGCATCCTTTAAAGCAAGCTGAAATAATTGCACAACATTTTTTTCCTTTACCAAGAAATAAATAAATAAAACCTGCTTTTTATTATATAAATGAAGCAAGAAGACCTACCTCAGCATGTGTCATTGGATCCAGTCCATTCAATGGTCTAGACTCAGAAGCTGATGGAGGTCTGTGCTTCAAGAATTGACTAATCCTGGATAAAAGATGACATATTCATGATCCAGTTTCATCAGAATAATGGAAAATTAGATCCAAAACAATCTATAAGATGGTTAAGTGATCATTAAATCTAACAAGAAATGGCATCGTAGAAATCAAGAAAGAACAACAATAACCAATGGGAAAAGAAGAAACCTAATATAAGTAGAACATCTGTTTCCCAGAATAATAGGATCATTGGGTTTGATGTTATTGGCTCTTGAGTAATTATTGATTGCCTGAACAAAAAACTCAATAAATTAGCCATTACCATAATTGCCTAGTTGAAGTGCTTTACAGTCAAGTTAAACTAAAAAGATTAAGAAGTCACATAACATGCAACCATTCTTTCAGTTGTAGAAGGAAACCAAGAAACAATATGTTAGCATTCTCTACCAACTCAACCAACCACAATATGAACAGCAAACAACAACAAGCAAGATAAACCAGCAAAATATCAGCAAACAGTAGCCAAAACCCAGAAAATAACAGTCACTTGCATTGATATTCCAGCAAGCAAACTACACAAATGAACTAGCAAAACTACCCACTACACAATCAATTGAACAACCAAGACTCAAACAAAAGAAACCCAGATAGTGCTGGACTTCGAGGGCCAGCTCCTCCCCATTTTCCTATAACAGTCCCCTTCTTTTCTTCTCTTTTCTTCTCCAGCTCATTCTCTTTCCATAGCCAAATTTCCCTCCTGACCAACCAAGAAATGCCATCTGTCCCTGCCCAACACATTCCTCAACACTTGTATACAATCTGAACTTTCCTGCCAACTCCCTTTTATCCTCTGCCAGCTCCCTTACCTCTCATTCCATACACGCTCATCTCTCTTGTTTCATCACAATATCACCAGAAAGAACTTGATCAGAAAACTCAAAAAATTGAAAAGCTACCATATCCTTCTTATTAAGCATTGCCAAAGATTAAAATATAATAAATCATACACACCATTTACATCCCAAATCTAACAGCTACAGGAACAAATCAAGACTGCATCAATCATAAGTCTAAGCATATAGAAGTGTTAATGGTAAAACATTGATAACTATAAACTACAAGCCCTGCACTAAAGCCATGCCACCAAGTTGGCACAATGAAAACCTACTCCAGAAAGACAGGACTACCAAGACTATTTGCATTGAATTTTAATGAATGGGTAGAACAAACTAAAGCATGTGTTGTGAAAAAAAGTAGCTCAGAATTTGAAAACTTTCAGCTGTAGCTTAATTTAATGCAAAATCAGTAACTTGTGTAAGAAAGGAAAAAACGAAATTGATACCATGACAAATTATTCAAAAAGAAAGACTTTTAGCTTGATATCTTACAAGTGATACTAACAAAATCTAGTCTTAAATGCATCTAGCCATTCATGTCAAAGTCACCGTCGCTAAATTCTGATATTCATTCTAGTAACCAAATAGCTCATAATTCCACATAAAGATTGCAACTGAATATTTCCTACAGCAAAAAGAATGAAGCCTAAATATGCTAACTAAGGTTAAAAAATGAACAGTGAGAAAAACACATTTAGAGAGAAGAAAAAAATTTGTCTAGATCTTGATGACTGTATCCAAACAAATTAGCATGAGGATATTCAATATTCAGTAACTCTGTTGATCATCAAAGCACATTTTATGTGGCATTACCTCTTAAAGAGTAAACATAACAACAATTGTTGTCTGCTTCTCTTCCTAACCCTTTTAGATTCTCAGATTGACATCTCCCTGACCACCCCAAACACACTAAGTTACTAAAAACTTGGATATCTACGAAATGAAAAGGCTAAAAAGGAAGAAAAATCCAATCGAAACTCTAAAATCTCGTAAATACCAAACTAGATAGGTCCAACCACATCAAGTTGTTCTAAAGCTCTTACTGGACAGACTTATGACCCTAAAGCCACATATACGTTAACACTTTAATTTCTAAGAAAACATCACATGGGTATAGATATCTATCTAGGTGTGAAACAGTTGCCAACAAAAAGCTCTAAAAGTTGAACTGTAATTGAAGTACTACTAATCCTAAGACCACAAAAACTGTAGTTTCAGAGATGAACCAAAGAAGAAAAAGTAGATCTCAAATGCACTTCCATGTGGTTCATCTCTTGATCTAAACTAGGACAGTGTAAAAGCACTTAAATAATTAGTAATAGTACCCATACTCAGTAATATTAAAACATTCCACACAACTAGAAGAATACTTGGAGTTTAACATGACTTAATTTATAACTAGCCTACTAATTAGTGCACATCATATGATGTCAGAGCCAAATTCACATTCAAGGCTCGGGTTACAAAATGAGAAAGCCATTGAGAAGGAAACTCAGGTCAGAGCATAGCCAGTTGAAGGCAGAAGGGCAACCTCAAGTCAGGGTGGTGTATAACCACAGATCAGATCACTATGGGAATTTATAACAAAGAGGAGTTGATGATTTCCATTTTCACATGGTTATGGAAAGGCACTTAATGTAAAACATACTATTACTCCTTGGAAGCAGAAATTGTTAAGTGACCACTAATCTCAAAAGCTGAAACTTATAGGTAGGACCCAACAATTGTATTAAGATCTAACACATCCTCTTACATACATGGCACATGAATCAAACACAGACACTATTTCAATAATGTAATGAAGGATTCGTACATGAGATTTCTTGATCAACCTTAACCATTAATTCCAAAAATTGATGCTTACAGGTAAAAGCTTGAAAACATTTAAGCTCTAACAAAAATACTGAGATACCCCAAAGTCAATAAGTTAACATTATACAGCTCATCTAGTCCATCCAAGCCATTTTGGACTGCAACTAAAAATAAAACAAAAATAAATAAATAATAATAGAATAGATATATAATTGACTACAAATTAATTATTTAAAGATACTATACAAATAAAAGCAACCTAAAATTGAAAAGGGAAAAAGTACAACCACATCAAAAAATTCTTGACATATTTGGACAGAACTAATCTTAATCTTGCATTGCGAGGTACTAGACTCTGTGACCTGCTTCTCATATCTTTTTGAGTTTTCTGTACGAAATTACCACAATAACAGAAGCATCTATATGATACTGAGAGGAAGGCCAAGAACAGGAATAAAAAACCGTATAGACTGCATTAGAAGTCAAAACCTCACCTGTTCAAAACAACTCTCTCGGAATGCACAGTTTCCATTTCTTACCAAATCAAAAACATGACTGTATCTGTCCCATGGCAACGATCCCTCTCCTTCATTTGCCTGCATTTTTTATTGACATTTACTCGTCATATTTCCAGACAGTCATAAATTAATAATACTAAGCACTATTAATCATAACAAGTTATAGGCACTCGGCACTCCATTCAGCTCTTGGGAAAGCAGTAAATAACCAAAAAAACAAGTTTTTCATTGTTTCACATTCTTCATTTGAAGTGACAAAAACAAGGAAATTCACTTGGCTACCATAATCCAGTTATTAAAAAAATGGCAATTCAATAAAAACATGTTGTAAATTTTCTTTAGCTGCAGAAGTTGCCAGTGAAGCTTCTAAACCATCCACTTATTTTCAAAATCATTGTAACAGAAAGGCAAACAGTATCAATCAAATTTTTTTTTGCAGATAATCAGCATGAACTACGTAAATTATAGTCTTCATCAATAAAATTAGCGAAAAGAACAAGTAGAAAAATAGAAAAGGAAATTTAAACAAGAAAAAGTACAAAAATCAAAGTTCAGATTATTTTTTGATCTCCCGGATTTCTCCGCAAACAAAAAGAAAAAACAGAAAACAAATGAAAGCAACCAAACTCAAATCCTTGTCTTTTCACAAGTTCTCTAAGCTAACAAAGAAACCAAAAAATTTGAAGGCAAAAAACGTGTAAAGACTGTTTGGCTTCTAAGAAAACACAAGAAAAGAAAATAAGAACTCAATATCTTCCTCTCCACGCAATACATTTCAAAGGAACAATTACAAAATAAAGTAAAACCAATACAATGCAAAATCCAAGACTCAAGACTTTCACATTATTCACTACAACTTCTTAAAATAACTAACGAATCACTTTCAACCCAAACTAAACATCCTACCATTCCAGAAGTTGACATCTTAAACTTTCCCGCACTTTCTCAGCGTCCAAACACTTGGAAAACCGAAAAAATAAAATCAAGGGAAAACTCACCCAAATGTAGTCATCGACATCGCTGATTCCCTCGAGAGTGAAGCTAGACGACGACGTTTCGACCGACATTGCAAAGAAACGAGAAGAAAAGAAAAGAGATAAAGAATCAATTTATCGGCGAAATTCAGCAGCCAAAATAGAGAGAATTCGAAGAGAATAATATAAGCATCGTGTTCTTCTCTTTGTCCTTCGTTTCTTGCACGGACCAAATTCCACTACGTGTTGTGTCTATCTCTCTGTTTAGACTTTTCACTAATTTCTGCCTTTTTTATTTATTTCTTGTTTTTTAATAAATAAAAGGAAGATTTGTAGATTTTAAGGGGCTGAGAGCTAGCTTTCTGGCACAGCGAGATTCGGTCGATTCTCTTCAAAAAGTTTATGTAATCAGAAGGGCATTGATTCTCTGTATCCACGCTTATTATTGTACGTGTATGAATGGCTGAAATGATGGGACTACGAGTTGACCAGTCAATCTTTCCACGTTGAGAGTTTCATTGGTGTTACTAGATTTGCGGAGACGATCGGTATCGAAACGCGCCATTGAGGCGCGTGGTAGCACGTTTGATTTCCTTATTAAAAAGGTGTTTACAGAATAATAGTTTGACAAATTTGTTTCGTTGTTGTATGTGATTACGATTAGGAGAAGGGGAATTGATTTGAAATTTGAAATTAAAAAGAAAGCCGTCTTGATTATTGTTAAAACGGCAACCGTCGAGGCTGAGAGAAGCACTTCCGTACAAAAGCCAAAAGCCAAAAACATTTTCCAACCCGTCAAAAATGACTCTCAATTAGAGCCAGGGGAAAGAATAATGTCTTTAACAGGAGAGTAATTAATGTGGAAGACAGACAGTAGAGGCCACGGTTTCTTGGCTTGGAGCGAGTGCTTTATCAGAAAGCATATATGTAAATAAGACCACGTTTGGTGGTTGATATCCACAATTTATCAAGGCTTAAACCATTGTCCAACTCCAACCAAACCAAAGTCTTTGGTTCTAGTGGACATTATTAATTCTTTTTCTGTTTCGAGGAAATTAAAAATTTAAAAGGGTGTTTTAGAGTTTTCGCCATTTGAGGCCTACCATTTTTTATTGGTTCAGTAAGCTGATAATTAATCAAAGCTGTACGCGTTTTGGTTTGATGGAAGAATGCATTGGAAATAGAATGTTCAGGGAATTTCCTAAAAAACTCATTTAAGAAAGAAACCCATTTCGATGACTGTTTTTTACTTTCATTTAAATAGGAGTGCTGGCTTATATTGTTATCTAATCTATCAACAGATGGGTTTTGTCATGATTTGCGTTAGTAATAAGCACCTGGCCGAATCGGCCACCTGGGTTGATAATCAATGGCCGAAAAGTATAATTGTATTTCTATAATATAAGAAATTATGTTACAGTGACCGCCGCATCTTCAGTGTTAAAACTCATTTTTGGCTGAAAAGAATCAATGGACTGACCACTTGTGTAATTTATTTATTTATAATGCAATAATACCCTTTTTCTTCTGTAATTTATTTATTAATATCCATCCAAGTTAAGTGTGAATTCAAAGCATTAGCTTCCAAAAATGACCGTAACCTTAACGAAGTGCCTATGTCTTTGGTGTCAACTAGAACTAGAAGCACCAAACGGGCTTTTAAACTGATTATTTTATTTTTTTAATTAAATTATGAGATTTTACTAGCAGCTGCCGGGATTTCAGATGCATCTATATTTATAAATTTCATCCCCAAGTGATCAAAACATAAATAAATAAATATTGCCTTTCATATCTATGTTTCTAAACCCTTCTTATATATAAGGGTTGTTTGATTTGGAGATAAATAAGATAATATGCGTAGTCTTCCTTTATTTTGCAAAATTCTTGTGTTTGGTTTGCAAGTAATAAAATATTATGATAGTATTTTATTACAAATATTGTTTACTGTTGGTAATGTAGGGGATAATATTACCTTGTTAGAGGGTGTTATTAAAACATTACCGAGGTAATCTGATTTTTCTACTCATTTTGTCCTTAATTAAAAACCATTTTGGATACAATTGTCCTTAAATGTCTACTAAATAACAATTACTCAGTTCCCCTACATTTGGAAATTAGTTAAAACACCCTAGCTACCAAAAAGTTTAAAAGTTAACAAAATACCCCCGACCACCCAAGACCACTGCCGGTCGTGACTCACCACCGCCAACTGTTGGCGTCAATCGTCGTAATGGTGCACAACTAGCGTGATCTGGTCGATTGTGCGTTGGTAAGGCCTTTTCCAGCTAGGGATCACAGATCCATGGCCAGAAATGACCAGATCTAGCGTTTCTATGGCCATTTCACGGCCAAAGATGTGGTCGTGAAAAGGCCAGATCTTTGGCTGTGAAATGGTCATAGATCTAGCCGTTTTTCAGCCATGGATTTGTGATCCATGGCCATTTCCGGCTTTGTCGACGCACGGCTGGCCATATATGACTAGTCGTGCGCCATTCTGTCGATTGCTGGTGGTAGGTGGTTGGCTGCCAATAGTGGCTTTGAGGTGGGTGGGGGTGATTTTGCTATAAACTAAAGTTTTATATGGCTGTGGTGTTTTAGCAAAATTTCAAATGTAGGGGATGAAAAGAAATTATTCAAAAAATAATAATGAAAAATACTTTATATATATATATATATATATATATATAAAGCTGAATACCCAAGCGGATTGTTCAGTGTTCACCATGTGGCGAATGTTGAAACTCGTAGAATTATTCCATTTTGACACATAGGATTTGTGATTGTCATGTGGTTGAATTTTATTGGTGATGATGTAGAGAGATATTAATTGTTACATTGGTATTCCAAATCCAAAGGTAAAAGCATACATATTTGAGTGATATGTAGGACACTTTTTTTTTTTTTAGCTCTAAAATTGCTTTATTTTGGAGCTTTAGAATTGCTCTCTCTTGCCATGTTGGATATGTGGTTTAATGAGGTATTTTTAGCTCTAAGATTCATGAATACCTATGCGGTGTGTTCGCCATGTGGCACATTTTGGAAGTTATAGAATTGCTCCATTTTGACACATTGGATTGACAAGCGAATCAAATTTCTCTATCTTGACACATTGGATTGATATTTATTGCTCTATCTATAATTATTAATTAATTAAAAAAAAGAATATGTATTAATAATTAATAATAATAATAATAATAATACAGGTGCATTACATTAACATTCTAAAAGTCTAACTATAATGACACCTTGGATTTGTGATTGAATTTTATTGGTGATGATGTAGACAATATTTATTGTTGTATTGGTATTTCAAAGTCTAAATAAATAGATATAAAGATTAGATTATATAGGTTCATTGTATTGGTTATATTAATAATTAATAATAGTACTAATTATATAGGTGCATTGTACTGACATTCTAAAGGTCTAACCATAATGACATATTGGATTTGTGATTAGCATATAGTTGAATTTTATTGGTGATGATGTAGACAATATTAATTGCTACATTGGTATTCCAAAGTCTAAATAAATAGACATAAAGATTGGATTAGATAAATGCATTGCATTGGTAGTAAAAACATACATATTTATTAATAATTATATAGGTGCATTGTATTAACATTGCAAACATTTCTTCGTATTCAATTTGTATTTAATTGTGTTGGCATTCGAAAGGTCTAAATAAGGAGTTGTAAAAGGAGCGTATGTTTAGTTGTGTATTATCACAATATGTCAGTTGGTGTCAACAATACGCCTGGTCTTTTGTTAATTGTTTATAGGCCATGTTAGTTTGTGTCAATAATATGTCTATTCTTCATGATTTTGTTAATCGATGATTTTTTATTTTTTGTTGTTGTTTACAGGTCGAAGATTCATGAATTGACATAGAATAAAGAAAGGATGTCCGATTGGCATTGTCAAATGAAATTGTAATTATATCTCCTAACTATTTTAACGGTTATTATTTAGTTGAATGATTGTTTTTGTTTGGCCAATCTATTTGAATGATTAATTGTGTTAGTCTTGCCGAACGGTAAGTGTATTCCTTAACAATTTGAATATAAAGATTAATTAGCTTTTGTTGATTATTTTTTCAGGTAACAGTTGTTATACAAATGAATAATTGTTCCTTAACAATCTTAACATAAAGATCGATTAAATTTTGTTATGTTTGTTTTCAAGAAAATGTTCATATACTTTACTAAGATCAAATCGAGGATGATCCTATTGTCAGCCGAACTGTGAGTATGTGTCATATCTATATTAGTAGAAATAATTCATTTGTGTTGAATATGTTTTCTGTAAAAACATTCGCGTATTTTAATTTGTTATATGAATGATTAATTGTTTATGTTCTGCTGATATGCGAGTATATATGTTAAATGAATTAGTTTTGGCTCATTCCGTTTTCCAATTAATAGGTGTTATTTGAAATATTTCTTATCAATCATAATATGATAATCCCTTAAATTTGGGTCAAGTAAACCATTCATTTTATTATCACACGTATTTCGATTTCCATTGAACAATCAGTAGTAAATTAACCATAACTTACTTAATGAAAATCCAATTTATGGGAGGATTGAATCTTTAGAAACTAGGCAGACAGTGCTTTAATTTGATATATTATAAGCTTAATTTGGATAAATGTAGCCCCACTGCCAAACCGTTCCTTTCATCGTCACACACATTTCGGTTTCCACTAAACAATTAGTAATAAATTAACCATAACTTGCTCAATAAAAATCCAATTGATGAGAGGTTTGCATCTTTAGAAACTAGACAGACAGGGCTTTAAATTGATACATTATACACTTAATTTGGATTACTGTAGCCCTAATGTCGAACCATTCCTTTTATCATTACACACATTTTGGTTTCTCCTGTTTCTCGATTTCCACTGAACAGTTAGTATTAAATTAGTCATAACTTGCTAAATAAAAATCCAATTGATGAGCGATCTAAATTTTTGAAAACTAGATAGATAAGGCTTTAATTTGATATATTATATACTTAATTTGGATAATTGTAGCCCCACTGCAAACCATTCCTTTTATCATCATACATATTTCAGTTTCCATTAAACAGTCAATAGTAAATTGACCATAACTTGCTCAATAAAACTCTAATTGATGAGAGGTTTGAATCTTTAGAAACTAGACATACAGGAATTTAATTTGGTATATTATATGCTTAATTTGGATAAACTGTAACCCCACTGTCGAATAATTCATTTTATCATCATACACATTTCTGTTTCTCTTGTTTCTCGATTTCCACTGAACAATCAGTAGTAAATTGGCCATAGCTTACTCAAAACAAATCCAATTAATGAGCGGTTTGAATCTTTGAAAACTAGACTGATAGAGATTTAATTTGATATATTATACGCTTAATTTGGATAACTATAGACCCACGGCCGAACCATTCCTTTTATCATCATACACATTTCAGTTTCCACTAAACAATCAGTAGTAAATTGACCATAATTTGCTCAATAAAACTCCAATTGATAAGAGGTTTGAATATTTAGAAACTAGACATACATGGATTTAATTTGGTATATTATACGCTTAATTCGGATAATTGTAGCCCTACTGTCAAACCATTCCTTTTATCAACACAGATTTCAATTTTCACTGAACAGTTAGTAGTAAATTGACCATATCTTGCTCAATAAAACTCCAATTGATGAGAGGTTTAAATATTTAGAAACTAGACAGATCGGTCTTTAATTTTATATCATATGCTTAATTTTGATAAATGTAACCCCACTTCTGAACCATTCCTTTTATCATCACACACATTTGGTTTCTCCTGTTTCTCCATTTTCACTAAACAATCAGTAATAAATTGGCTATAACTTACTCAATAAAAATCCAATTAATGAGCGGTTTGAATCTTTGAAAACTAGAAAGATAGAGCTTTAATTTGATATATTATACAATGAATTTGAATAGCTATAGCCATGTGGCTGAACAATTCATTGTATTATCACACACATAAAACCAATTCAATTTTAGTGATGACAAATGAAAACAAATATTGATATACAGATTTAATTGTACTTGTTCTATCTCTTTTTGTTGATATTTTTGTATGTTACATACAAATATCGAAAAAAGTTGTTGCTAAATATAAAAATTTTATTTGTATCACAAATATCATCTAATGTTTGTGTCGAACCATGTAGCTTTAGTAAACCATTTATAATATGCCAAACCATTATTATTATTCTTAAAGGAAAACAAATATTGATATGTAGTTTTAATTGTAATTGTTCTATCTTTTTTTATTGATATTTTTTTATGTTACATACATATATCATGAAAAGAGGATGTTGCTTAATATAACTAATTTCATTTATTTAAAAAATATCAACTGATGTTTGACGCTGAACCATGTAGCTTTAGTAAACCATTCATTTTATCATCACACATATTTAGGTTTTCACTGAACAATCAGTAGTAAATTGACCATAACTTGCTCAATAAAACTCTAGTTGATGAGAAGTTTGAATCTTTAGAAACTAGACAGACAGAGCTTTAATTTGATATACTATATGCTTAATTTGGATAACTGTCGCCCTACTATCAAACAATTCTTTTTATCATCACACACATTTCAGTTTCCACTGAACAGTCAGTAGTAAATTAACCATAATTTTCTTAATAAAAATCCAATTGATGAGAGGTTTGAATATTTAGAAACTAGACAGATAGGGCTTTAATTTGATATATTATAGATTAATTAGTAGCCCCACTTCAGAATCATTCATTTTATCATTATACACATTTTAGTTTCCACTGAACAGTCAGTAGTAAATTGACCATAACTTGCTCAATAAAAATCCAATTTATGAGAGGTTTGAATATTTAAAAACTAGACAGACAGGGCTTTAATTTGATATATTATACATTTAAATTGTATAACTGTAGCCCTACTATCGATCCATTCCTTTTATTATCACATACATTTCAGTTTTTACTGTTTCTTAATTTTCACTGAACAGTCAATAGTAAATTAGCTTTAACTTGCTCAATAAAAATCCAACTGAAGAGCGGTTTGAATTTTTGGACACTAGAGAGATAGGACTTTAATTTGATATATTATACAATGAATTTGGATAACTATAGACCTGCTGTCAAACCATTTATTTTATCATACACACATAAAACAAATTCAATTTTAGTGATGACAAAGGAAAATAAATATTGATATGTAGTTTTAATTGTATTTATTCTATTTCTTTTTGTTGATTTTTAGATTGATTTTGTTGTTTGATATGTGGGTTTTACAATTATCGTCTTTCTTTAGGATGTCATCATTAAATACCTTTTTTGCTATAGGTGGTGGTCAATTCTAATTGCAGCAAATAAATTTGTGTCACAGAACCTTTATCTTCATGGCTTCTTCAATGTTTCAATTGAGTTGCCTTCAGATTATATTGTTGGAGTTATTGTTGCTTTCTATGTGAGTTTTCTTCTCAACATTCTTAATTTTTTTTTTAATTTCTAAAATAATAATAATAAAAATAATTTATTTTCTCTCCTCAATAATTAAAATCAGTTTTTTCCTTTAGCTCTACAAGTGTCTTGCTTAAAAGTTCACATTTTTCAACAAGGTTTCTCTTTCTCTGATTGATTTATAGACTTATCAATAATACCTAGTGGGTTATCTTGCAAATATTTTTGCTTTTCTTGACAAAATTTTAAACTTTGGTTGCAAATTTCAAACGGTGACATATTTGAGAAGAACTATGATAATATAAATTTTGAGTTCAATTTTTGGATATTTTAGTTATTGATTTTTTAATGATCAATTCAATATAAAATGAACTTCAATATAGAAAATATATATTTAAAAGACAAAAAAACCAATAATCATGTAAAAAAGAATATATAATAAACATATTTGCGTAACGCTACTTGAAAATGAATATAAATTACAAAAATTACGGAAGGTCAGTATAAGTTTTAAGTTTAAATAGTTGATCTTGATAATATTCATGTAATCTTAAATATCATATACGATTCACTACAAAATACTGACATCGAGTATTAAAGACATGTCTGCAAAAATAATATCAATTGTACAAGGTGATGATCTTGAAAATATAATTAGACCATATAATATTCAGGTGATCTTCTTAAGTTGGATGAATGATTTAATGACATCTACCTATAATTGATATTAATAATTATTCAAGTATAATTATTAATTTTATCTTAACACAAGTTTGTATATATATAAAATTTATATTTACTTTAAATTTTGTATAATTTAACAATTATTATGTCTTAATCTGGTTATTTTATTTTGTTAGAATAAATTTGTTTACAAGCTATTTCAAAAACATTGAATAACGCCCCATGTCTAGTTATATTAATATTTAAAAATAAGGGTAATTTAATAATTTATATAACATACTCATTCATTTATCCTCCTAACCAAATATATTATTTTTATCAATTTATTCAAACCAACCATACACATTTTCTAAACATTCCCAATAATCTTTAAGGTGATTTTTCTTTCTGTTAATATAATATACCAATATAATAGAACATTATATGATCCAAATGTCTCCATAAAAATATAACGATCAAACCAACACATTTTTAACATCGTCGAGGCAAACCAAACAATAAAAAGTTATAACCTTCTTCTATCTCACTTTCTATCCCAACCATGAACCCCTTCCCTTAATGAAAAGTATAGTCTAATGACAACAAAAACAAGAACCTTAGTTCAGAATAATATAAAGCACACATTATAAGCCTGCAAAGACAAGTTGGAAAACCTGCAAAACTCGATTCCGTCCGTCCCTGTCCCGCTAAAAATATATAATATAATAAATAAATAAATAAAAAGAAAGAAATCGAAGGATTTTCGGGTAGGGGGACGAGTGTTTCATTCCGTTGCTGATGATACCCGCCCTATCTTTGCTTTCGGGTAGAGGATGGAGAGAGCAAGTATAGGGTCGGGTACAACTCGGCCTTATCTCAGGAATTGCCAATCCTAAATCCTTGTGTTTAACAATACTGACAATAATCAATTTTAGAATATCAAATTTCGTTGAGGATAATTGTTATTGTATTGAATAAAATTGTTAAAATTTTAATATTTATTATTATGTTAAAATTTTTATTTAAATTACAGCACTTTTGAATTTTGTCGCCCCTGAATTTCTGGCTCTGCCACTGGTTGCGACAGGCCTCAATCGCCCACAAAACCAAAACAAAATCCTACCAACTTCATCACCTGCAACTCTACCCTGTCGTGTATCCAAACCCCCTTATGGCAACCCCACCCGATGATAAAGAATGAGATTTTGTTTTTGTCTTCCACACTACCACCTCTACATTTCCAATACACCTAGAAAAATCTTCAAACCCAAAGATGAATGCATTGCTCTGCCACTATCTGAGAAAATATGTTACAGTGACCGCCGCATCTTTAAACTCATTTTGGATGAAAGAATCAATGAACTGACTAGTTGACAAAGTTGTGTAATTTATTTATTTATAATGCAATGGATGTGAATACCCTTTTCTTCTGTAATTTATTTGCAGGCTTGGAGCCCTGCGAATATCCAAGTGTGGATTCAATGCATTAGCTTTCAAAAATTACCATACCATAAAGAAAGTGCAGAGATTGTTTAGATTAATAGAAGCAGTGCTAAGTACTGACGCCTTTGGTTTTGACTTATTTCAACTTATTCTGGTTTTGGTATAAATTACATGTACAGATGAATGTTGAAGTTCAATACAATCAGCAATATAATCAACCTATCAGTGAAAAGCAATTTTCTATATACATGTCAGTCTACCTAGTTGAAAGGTTAGACAGTTGGTGATCTTCAAGAACCATTTTCTTCCATCACTCAGAATGAATAATCAACTTTTTCGCCACTAATCGGATGCCTGCACTCTGCTGATAGTCATAAGGATCTAAGGAGAAGAATGTATCCACAAAGGTACCTGGTTTGAACAACGTATCAAGTTCTGCAGCATCAAATTTCACAAACACAAGCTTTTGTACGGTCCCAGATGGTTCTTTCTGGCAAATCTGTGTGCCATATTGGGCAACATTGCCACTTACGGTAGTAGGTATGCTGTTAAAAACAGGGAGAAGACACATCAGATTAGGTGCATTCTCAGTACATGAAGAAGATACACAAATTTAACAATGATACAAAAGATTAATGTTTTATTATCTATTTTGTTTGTCATAGTCACGCTATGTAGAATGGCTATATACTGCAACTCCCAAATTCATCTTCAAAAATATTACAAATTTTTGAACCACTTCATTGTTGCATTAACCCAAATGAATCATGAAAATCATTGAAATGAATTACTACTTAAAGAAAACTAAACGTTAATGATTAATGAAAAATAAATTATGAATCAATGGACATGGAAAAATGAGTTTCTTCAAGATCCTGAGCCTGAGTTTTGTTTTCCTTTTCATTTGTAATTTTTGCACCTAAGACACTACTTAAGGAAAAAAACAGAGAGGGAAATATATCAGTTATTCTAAATTCCAAAACATGCTGTTCCATGTGTAAAAATATAATCCACTCTGGCCGACAGCAATTCAATATTTCATTGTATTTCCTAAGCTGAAGCAATCATTCATTTCCTCATCCCAATCAAAAAAATGAATGAAACCAATGAGGGGAAAGACTTACTGTAATCTTGCTGTAGGATAGCTGTAGAAGCCCTTTCTTCTGGTCACAACAGTTCTCCACTCAGAGCCACTACCAGAATCCATGCTTAATTTATGTGCAGCACTATCACATGCTTCAAGAACCTCACATAAACGTGGAGATAAGTCAACCACAAAATTCAACCGTGGCCGACCAGCATGATCAACAAACTTCGTATTTATTCCAAATCGTATACTCAAACGAGCACAATGAAGCTGCAAAATGACATCTCTGTGCAATATTTTAATTCTCTGAACTTGACTACCATGAAACAGTGGGACAAGACAGGCACTGATGTTAGAAGTTGAAACTTTATCAGGCTCTATAAATGCATCATGGCCACTTGAACTCTCAGAGACAGCAGCTGCTGAATTCGTCTTGGGAGACATCAATTCCGTCTTTTCTTCCATGGTGACATCTGGCTGAAGGGATTCAGTTTCCATCTGATTGCTAAGTTGGCCCATATCAAAAGAATCTGTTCGCTCTGGATTAGCTACAGCTGAATCAGAGACCTCCTCCCCTCTTCTGTGAGTCACCAAAGATAATATAGGATGGTCTTCCCCTGTTCCTTGAACAGGGGAAGACAAATTTGGAGCATCTTCAGACTTAGGTCTTGAAGAGGAAGTACTAAGGTTTAGGCTTGTCACCACTGGTGATGGTTTACCATTACTACGACTTCTTGTAGTAGCATTTGGGGAAACCCAGCTGTTGACAGTGAATATGTCTGGGAGGCTTGACTCCTGCAAATATGGCAAAGTTAGCTTAATTGTTACAAAAGCAATCTTATGAACCATGCAAGTCCATCAGCCACCCCATTGAAAACTTGTTCAAAGTCATTATATGGTAAATTTAAAATAAGACTAGATACACAATAAAAGAAAAAAAAAAAAAAAAAAACACTTGTGCTATCATATAAAAAAAGAGAATCAAAACATGCCATAGTTAATAATCTTACCGACTTTGATACTTAAAAAAGGAAATTCGGATACCAGTAGATTTTGCAAGCTAATATGACATAAAATAGTTATGGTCAGAACAAAAGAAAATAGATGTGCATGGTGACATTGTCCTGTTTTGCAGAATGAGGCTTGGCTTAAAGTAAAATTTGAAGCCATTAAAGATTAATGCATTGAAGTTCGTGGAGGATTTTCATCTTGCACCAAAGTCTGAAAGCTATCTATCCATTTGTCTGCATGCCATATTGCTCTGATCATGGTGAAAACACAGTTGAACAAGATGAACTAGCAATAGAGCATGTCATACTCATTGGATGGCAAGTAGAGCTGAGGCATAACTGATTGAAATTTGAGGATACCATAAACTGGCAATGGCTTATCAGCCAAGAAAAAGCAAGTCTCAATGCTTTAGAAACTAAATAATTACCAAGAACAAGACTGTTGCGCAATGCTTGAGAACTTCAAGATTCATCCGAACATCATCTAAGCTCCTGAGAGAAAATAGTAAAAGTTATTATCTCAAGGAGAAGGGGAGAACAAATAAGATAACTCCTTGGAGGCAGTAAAAATACCTATGTGTCTGCTGCCCAAGCCCAAAGTAAGTGGCTAGAGTGGCCATCTGCACAGATATTAACATATCAACATCCAAAAGTCAACAGTAATTAAAAAAACCTAAAATATAATACCATTGAGTAACCCTGTAAACAGGGTGCAAAATAGCTTTCCATCAATTCATGTTTAGACATAATATATGAGATACTAGGAACCTGATTGCAAGATATCAAATAAGGGCTAAAACATAATAGCAATATTCAGAAGTTTCTCAAAAACAAGGGCACTTTCTGGGTTCACAATTCTGTGGATTACATTAAGAAGGATTTAATATGATTTTGGAAAAAAAATTAATAAGAAGGGTTTTGGAATTCAGAAGGCATAAAATAGTGATATGATAAAAGACAACAGACAAAAAAGTACATTAAGACTTAGTTGCACAAGGGCAAATAAAGGAGGGAACAGAGAGGTGAACAAGAGGAAAGAGGAGAAACCATTTCATCTATACACAACATGTGACAATTTAACCCTTCTTATATATAAGGGTGTAATGATGAAATCAACACATTTTTAACATCTCCGAGGGAAACCAGACAATAAAAAGTTATAACCTTCTTCCATCTCACTTTCTATCCCCCAAGCATGAACCCCTTCCCTTCGCCTCTCTTTTCCTTCATACCAAACACGTGTCTCATGAAAAGTATAGTCCAATGACAACAAAAACATGAACCTTAATTCAGAACAATATAGAATAATATAAAAACACACAATGGAAACATTAAATGTTTTTTTTTTATTAAAAAAAAAAAAAAGGAGAAAAGCTTAGTCTTTAATGGACACTAAATCACACAGATAAACATGAAATGGTCCCAAAACACGCATTAATTCAGATATAAATGGTGAATTTATAATAATATAAAGAACTTAAACGAAAGAGAGGTCAGTAAATATTACCTTCATGTCACCAGCTCTCCTACCAAACCTCTGCGTCAACAATGCCAAGGAGTCAATCGTTCCCTTTGGCTCGGGAGGGGCCCGGCCGACCTCCGCAAACGCCTCTCTTATTCTCGCACAATCAAACCTCACTATGTTATGACCCGCCCATATTCTCCCTACACAAGAAAACACAATCAATTTCACATCAAAATCACAACTTTAAATAACTTCAAAAAACAAAGGCAAGAACTTTAAACGGACCGTGAAGGATGTCGAAGACGGTATCGGCGATTTCTGCGAAGGTAGGGGCGGAGACGACGGCGTCGGGAGTGATGCCGTTACAGCGGACGGAGAGAGAAGAAATGAGCGAGGGGTCGGCGGGTCGGACGAGAGTGGAGTAGCTATGGAGCTCGTCGAGTTTCTTGGGACATACGAGGATGGCTCCGAATTCGAGAATGGAGAAGCCCTGGCCAGGTCGGGTGGGGACGGTGGTTTCGACGTCGAAGAAGGCGATTTCGGATCTGTCTCCAGGTAGAGCCATGTTGAAAAAGGATGGGTAGAAATTGAGTGAAGTTGTTAACGGAGGCGCCAATTTGATTGGTATTTAAGATTAAGTATTTTCGATTTTTTTATTAATTTAAAAAAAAAAAAAAATGAGGTTGCTTGCTGGGTGGGTTTCATGAATCCTTACACGTATGTAAAGTTTCGCGTGAAAAAGTAACACGGTGTTAAATTATTTTTTGAATTACAGTTCATTAAAAGAGAGGCTGTTTGTTTGTGGAAATGGGGTAGCTGAATTAGAACAAAGAAGAAGGGAAAGGCAACAAGTAAAATAGAAGGGGTGGGGTGGGGTGGGGGATTAAACTAGGAATAATTCGTTGCGTTGATGTACAGTACAAGTAATGTAGTAACCATTAGGGTTTTGTTTTCTCTTAATTCCCAGACCCTATCTCTTCACGTCTCCTTCTCCCTAATCTAAACTAATCTTACTAATTGGTTTTCATCACAATGCCATGCCTTCCTTTTATCAAGTAATAGAATACATTAAGATATTGGCAATAAACATAATTTGTCCATCTAGTTTACACGTACCTTAACTAAATCCTTCAGGATCCTAACATTACTAACTAAATAAGAGCTATAGTAGCTATCCTTAGTAGCAATAAAGAGAGGACTCAAACTCAGAACCTCTTGAGCAATATACCCAAGAGTCTCTATCAAACCACTCGACCATGTGAAATCAAAAGAATTTTCTTAATATTGATTGTGAACAAAATACAACAATAAATACACATTCAATAGTCCATATAAGGAAATGAAATAATTTAAACTAGGAAAGAGAATGATATAATTTCCTATTTTAAAGATCCTATTCCTAAAACATTTGATTTGTACAACTCAACAGATTTGTACAACTCAACACTCCCCCTCAAGCTGGGGCATATAAATCATATCCACCAAGCTTGTTAAAAATAAAGTCAATACGAGGACCCCTAAGTGATTTAGTGAGGATATATGCTAGCTGATCATTTGGGCTGACATGACTAGTGGTAATACAACCAGATAAGATTTTCTCTCTGATAAAATGACAGTCAATGTCTATATGCTTAGTCCTCTCGTGAAACACTAGGTTGGAGGCAATATGGAGAGCAACTTGATTATCACAAAGCAACTTCATCTTCATTACTTCTATAAACTTCAATTCTTGGATTAGTTGCTTCAACCAAATGAGCTCAGAAGTTGCTAGAGCCATTGCACGGTATTCTGCCTTTGCACTCGATCTGGCAACGACATCTTGCTTCTTACTTTTCCAAGACACAAGGTTTCCTCCCACAAGAATACAAAAACCTGAAGTGGAACGTCTATCAGATAGAGAACCTGCCCAGTCAGCATCAGAATATCCGACAATCTGTGTATGGCCCCTGTTTTCATATAATAGACCTTTGCCTAGTGTACCTTTGATATATCTTAAAATCCAAATAACTGCATCCCAATGACTGACACAAGGAGACTATAGAAACTGACTAACAACACTGACGGAGAAGGAAATATCAGATCGTGTAATGGTGAGATAGTTAAGTTTACCAACCAGTCTTCGGTATTTCCTAGCATCTGCAAGAGACTCCCCCTGTCCAGGTGAGAGCTTTGAATTAGGATCCATAGGAGAGCCTATCGGTCTACAGTCTGACATCCCTATTTCTTCCAAAATATCTAGTGCATATTTCCTTTGAGAAATAACAATACCTGAGCTAGATTGAGCCACTCCGATACCAAGGAAGTATCTAAGTAATCCCAAATCTTTGGTCTAAAAATGGTGGAACAAGTGTGTCTTTAACTATTTAATGTCATCCTGATCACTTCCTATAATAACAATATCATCGACATAGACAACCAGATATATGCATTGCCCTAATGAGTTATGTTTATAGAAAATAGAGTGATCAGACTCACACCGAATCATCTCAAACTCTTGAATGACATTACTGAATCGTCCAAACCATGCATGAGGGGACTGTTTTAAACCATACAGAGAGCAACGAAGTTTACATACCAAGGCAGACTCCCCCTGAGCAACAAAGCCAAGCGGTTGCTCCATATAAATTTCTTTCTGAAGCTCACCATGAAGAAAGGCATCCTTAATGTCTAATTGGTACAGAGGCCAGTGGCGGAGAGCAGCCATGGATAAAAACAAGTGAACATAAGACATCTTAGCCATAAGAGAAAAAGGTCTCATAATAATCCAACCCATAAGTTTGAGTATACCCTTTTGCAACCAACCATGCTTTCAGTTGATCAACATGACCATCTGGGCCAACCTTGACAGTATAAATCCAACGACAACCACCAGGCGATTGGCCGGGAGGCAAAGGAACTAATTCCCAAGTATTATTATGAGGTAAAGCAGTCATCTCTTCAACAATAGCTTGACGCCATGTAACACCCCACTTGAGGTACGTACTTAAGATTTGCTGTATTACTTAAAGGATTCACTGTTTCAGCTTCAATTGAGTTTGTATGTTGTTGTGGTTAGTTGGTTAGCCTTTAATTAAAATGGTATGTTGTATTGGTTAAGTGTTTGCCTTGGTTTGGTTGAAATTTGGTGAAGTTTGGAAATTCGAGCTTCGCTGGGGCGAAGAAGAAGCTTCACCGTGGCGATGAGGAGCTGCACCCACCGGTAGGCTCTGCCGGGGCGACGTATTGTTCTTCGCCGCGACGAAGAGCCTAACAAAAAGTTTCTTGAGTTTTCTAGAGAATTCTTCCTTTGGGGCACAATAACCTTTCTACCCCTAATTAGCAAGAAAAGTGGGGAGTAAAATGTAAGGAAATTTAGTAGAGATTATGTTTAGATGGGGGTATATTTGTAAAGAATCAAAGGATATAGATGGAATTTCCAAGGAAGGGCAAGGGCAAAATGGGAAATGATGATTATAATATGAACTAAAAAGGGTTAAGTGTAGAGAAACCCATTAAGTCATCCATTTCCACCGCCTCTTCCATTCTCTAATTTCTCTCAATTTCTCCATCCAATCTTCCAAGATTTCTAAGGAGTTTAGAGAGCTTTTGGGAAATTTTTGGTAGAGATTTCATCTAAAGCATCCTAAGGTAAGGATTCTTGCTTTAGATATTGATTTGCTTGTATATTTGTATCTTGAAGCCTCATGGTTTTATGGTTTAAAGGTGTAGAGAAGGGACAAGGTACTAAGGAGAAGTATTAGTGGAACCTCTCCATTAAAGGTAAGTAAATCCAAATTAAATTGAGATTTAAGAATTCATTTGAGTAGAGATTGTATATGTATGTATTATGCTAGTTGAGGGATTGAGATGTTATGAGTATTTATCTATGTTGATATTGAATATAATTGAGTTATGAGAAGTGTTGTGATTGCATGATGATGAGTTGAGTTGATTGAAGTTGGAGGGAGTTTTGAGCAAACCCTATGGGAGTGTTTTTCCTTGACAGGAATTTAGAGTGTATGAGGGAGTTTTCCTCCCATTTTGGAATGGTTAAAGAGAAGAGTAGAGTTATAGATAATTAGAGCTTTGGTATGCACATGAGTTGTTTGATAAAATGCCTAAGTGAGAAACTGCCCTGTCACAGCCGTGACCTTCTGAGTGATTTTTGGGCATTTTACGGATTGAACTGGGTTTAGACCAAAACATAAAAATTATAGCCCTGTCTCTAAGCTTTAGAACGAGATCAAAATAGTAGCAATCCAATGTGTATAACGCAAGTTATGCCCTTATTAGTGTGACCTGTGCAGAATGACGATTTTAGAGCAACATTGCATTTGTTCATTTCATGAGTGCATTAATAAGCATGAATCATCCATATGTATTAGTTATGCATTAGAGAAAGAGTATAAAAATAGTAGAGAACTTTGAGTGTGAGCTTTCTTAAGAGAAAAGAGAGAAAAAAAAAAGAGAAGAGAGTAGGTTGTGCGATGGGGAACCCGTGAGTAATGGGTAGAGTATTCCCGCATATACGCCACATTGAGAGAGCGGCATGAGTATGAGAAAGAGAAGTGGTGTAGCCCGTGAGAGTGCATGCGGATGAGGGCTATACCCGAGTACCCGAGAGAGAGATTATACACTCACATGGCCAAGGGTTCCGAATCCATGCATAACCGAGTCTGATCGGCTAGAACGAGTAGAGGTCACGTAGAACGGGAGCGAGTCCCGGCCGTGCCCCCGGTAAGATGGGGCTGTGACTTAGAGTTAATAGAAAAGAGTTCTAAGAAAGAGAAAGAGAGAGAGAGAAGTACCAAAGAGGAATTGAATGAGAAGTTGTAAGGAAAGAATTAGAGTGAGAGTTACAGGGTTAGACGGGTAACTTACTGGGCATTGTTTTAGTGCTCACCCCGTTATTTCCTATGTTTGCAGGATCTAGGTGAGGACGCAGTCGGATGGACGTCGATACGCGAGGGGAAGCGGTTACACTGTCCACTATATTTGTGATGACTTTTGTACATATTATAATTTTGTGTAAAAATGTATATGTTTGTAAAGCATATATATATGTTTAATAAAAAGAAACTTTTGGGCCCAATTTTCTTATGCTATTTTATATGTATTTTCTTATATAAATCATATGAGTATTTGAGTAGAAAGTGGCTGTTACACGCCAGCTGGGATCAGTCAATGTCTCATGAACATTAGAAGGAACAGAGACAGAAGAAATGGTTGACACAAAAGCATAATATGATGGAGATAAGCTGTGATAACTAAGAAAATTATAGATCGGATGAGGGTTGTGAGTGGACCGCATACCTTTACGAATTGCAATGGGAAATTGGTCTTCAGGAGGTAGGGCCGCAGTAAGAGAGGAATCTGACGCAGGAGGATCAGGAACATCATCAAGAATAGTGTCAGTAGTCGTACTCGGAACAATAATATCACCTAGAGGAGGAGACTCGCCCATAGGGGTAGGACTTGGAGGAATAGTAACAGACTCTGCAGGATGATCATAAGTAGACTCAATGTAGGGTATATGGAGGACAGTGGTGATATAATCACTGTCTGATGTAGAAAAGAAAGGAGAAGACTCAAAAAAGGTAATGTCAACGGATAGAAAGTATTAACGAGTGGATGGAGAATAACATTTATAACCCTTTTGAAGTCTTGAGTATCCTAGGAAAATACACTTGATAGATTTGGCAGACAGTTTGTTGGTACCTGGGGAAAGGATATGGACAAAATATGTGCAACCAAAGATACGTGGAGGAAGAGAGTGTAACGGTTGATCAGGGAACAAAACAGAATGAGGGACCTGGTTTTGTAGGACAAAAGAAGGCATCATATTAATCAAGAAACAGGCAGTTAACACAATGTCTGCCTAGAACTGGAAATGAACCTGATTGTGTAAAAGCAGGGTTTGGGTAGTTTCAATCAAATGTCTATTCTTACGCTCAACAACTCCATTTTGTTGTGGAGTATATACACAAGAGGATTGATGGAGAATTCCCTGAGATGACATGAATTTGGTAAAGGGAGCAAAAAAATATTCACGAGCATTATCACTTCGAAACCCACGAATAACAGTATTAAATTGTGTCTTAATTTCAGCACAAAATGATTCAAAGATAGAAAATAATTCGGAACGACTTTTCATTAAAAATAATCAAGTGCAACGAGAATAATCGTCAATAAACGTGACAAAATATTGAAACCCTAAAATGGATGAGACTTGATAAAGACCCCAGACATCAGAATGAACTAACTCAAAGGGGACGTAGCCCGTTTATTGACACGCTTTGGAAACATACTACGAGTATGTTTTCCAAGTTGATAGGACTCACAATTTAAAGACGATAAAGTAGAGAGACCTGGAACCATCTTCTAAAACTTTGTTGAACTAGGATGACCCAGACAATTATGAAGGAGAAGAGGAGACTCGGAGACAATGTATGCAATGGGGGCAGAAGGTAACTTGAGATGGTAGAGGCCCTGTCACTCATGTCCTGCGCCAATCATTCGTCCCGTGTTGCGGTCCTGTATAACAGTAGAATCACTAGTAAAAGTGATAGAACAATTTAAAGAGCGGTGAGTTTACTAACAGATAGAAGGTTAAAAGGGCAATGGCGAATATACAGACATAATCTAAAGTCACGGAGGAGAGTGGTTGTGCCCCACCTATTGCTTAACAACTACTTTGGTCCCATTGGCTAAGATAACAAGAGACAAAGAGGTAGTATTAATAAGATGAGAAAGCAAACGGGGGTTACCAGAGATATGATTTGATGCACCAGAATCAAGAACCAAGACCCTAGAGGAGACGACTGAGTGAGACATGCAACTGATTTACTCGACTGAGCGATGGAAGCAATAGATGAAGAAGACTGCTTATTTGCCTGGAACTTGAGATATTCGTCATAATCAGCACCTGTAAGAGTCAAAGATGGCAAACTTGGTTCTTCAGAAGATTCAGAATGATGATCAAGATATGCGACATTGGCAACTCGAGGAGGACGCCCATGTAATTTGTAGCATTTCTCCTGGACATGTCCCCACCTATGACAATAACTACACTTGGGTCAACCTCCCTTGCCAATACGATCCCCCTGTTCTCCTTTAACAAAAGTTTGAAACTGAGAGGCCAGGACAAAAGAATCAACTGGGGAAGATCCAACCACAACACCAGGGGAGGAGACTCGAAGTAATCGAGCAAAAACTTCATCAAGAGAAGGCACAACAGCACTTGCTAGAATCTAATCTCGTACTGGAGTGAGAGCAGGACTGATAGCGGTAAGAGTAAGAACCATAAAGAATTTGTCTCATTGTGTCATATCTTCTGCTTCAGACTTGCCAGCGGGTAACAACAAATTAAATTTTGCCTTGAGAGAGGCCATCCTGCCAAGAAAGTCAGACATGCCCATATCTTGCTATTTGAGATTAACCAAATTGGACACAACATAATAGAGTCTCTGGATATCATTAGTATAAAGCAATTTGGCCTGTCGCCATACATCAAAACAGATTCGATATATTTTATAAGTAGAATGAAGGTGAAGGTCAATAGACTGCCATAATAAACCACATACCAAGGCATCTGTCTTTACCTAGGTAGTTTTATCATCCGTGACATCTTTAGCCTTAGTGGTCAAGTGATCCTCTAGACCATGTCCCATACACCATAGTTCAATAGAGGCAGCCCATGAAGAATAATTGGAGCTGCCTATTAATTTTTCAGTTGTGATCGGAGGAAAAGACAAAAAAGAAATATAACTTGATTTGGTGTTGGATCCTTCAGGGAGCATGATTGTCTTGTGGAAGAGATTGAACCGACCTGGGCTGAAAAACAAAACTGATTCTGGCCAGATCGAAAAAAAGAGGATATTTCGGCCGTAGTGGGCTATTTCCAGCACTGGTGATGACAATGCAGGTCGGATGGTGGTGGGTGTGCTCGCCGACGGTGTCTGAGTGCACAGGTACCGATGGTGAGACCTCACGCTCGTCGGAGAAGGAGTTCAGAGAAGAAGTCATCGGAAAGAAGACTGATGCGTGCGACGGCGACTGGCGATGAAATTTTCAGGTTTTGCTGGCGAGGAGAAGACGAACAAACTGGTGTGGTTAGAAGAGTGATTCAACACCAAAAGGAGATAGCCTGAACTTTGCCAGAAAAAGAAAATAAATTTTTTTTCTAAGGTTTCTAATTTCTTAGCTCTGATACCATGTGAAATCAGAAGATTTTTCTTAGTATTGATTGTGAACAAAATACAATAATATATACACATTCAACGGTCCATATAAGGAAATGAAATAATCTAAACTAGGAAAAGGAATGATCTAATTTTCTATTCTAAAGATCCTATTCCTAAAACATTTGATCCTATTCCTAAAACATTTGATTTGTACAACTCAACATATTTGTACAACTCAACAGACCACCCCAGGACAGGACTTGCCTGCTCCTAGACATACATGCTTGTATAATTACAACGGTTGAAAAATGTTACAATTCATAATTTGGTTGACCTCAATAATGTTATATTTTCATGGGTCCAACCTGTTCCCCATCACTTTTTTAAAATAAAACAGAAAATAATATGAATAAGAACCTTCTTCTACAAAATCTATAATTATCCTCTTGCTTCCCTTAAAATACCAAAGTTCTTTTTGTCTTAATTTTCTCACTTTTCCCGAATTGAAGATTCAATTCATAAATCTTCATATAGATTTTCTGGCGTGAGAGAAAACACACATTGAAAATAATAAAGTTTTCTACAAGACGGCGTTTGGATCATATAATATTTTATTATAGGATATATTATATTAACGGAAAAAAAATTATTTTGAAGATTACTAAAAATGTTTAGAAAATGTGTTTGATTGACTCGAATAAAGTGGTGAATAATATGTTTGATTGGGAGGATAAATTGATGGATATGTTATGTAGATTACTAAATTGCCTTCCTTTTTAAATATTAATATAATAGTATTTTTTATTATTATTTTTTGAATAATTTTTTTAACCCTATACTTTTTAGATTTAGCAAAAACACCCTAGCAACCCAAAACATTTTAAACTTAACAAAAACACCTTTACCCACTCCAAGCTACTGTCAGTAGCTAGCCACCACCGCTGGCGGTTACTGACAGTGCCACAAATCTGGCTGTTTCACAACCAAAGATGTGGCACTGAAACGGCCATAGATCTAGCCGTGAAACAATTCACGGCCATATCTTTGGTTGTGAAATAGCTAGATCTGATCTTTTCTAGGCCTTACCAATGCACGATCGACCATATTCAATCGATCGTATGTCATTATGGTGACTTTCAGGAGTCGACGACAGTTGGCAGTGGTGGTTGATTCTGGGTACAATAACATTTCGTGGCATTTCTATAAATAATGACAATAATAAAGGCAATGTCATTTAGAAAATTTAAAAAGTGAGGACAAAATGGCCTATATGAGTTGATCTAATTATATAGCAGTAGCACACTTGCCTCAGCGAAAAGTTCTTACATTTTTATATTGCCACCTCACTTGATTCCTCTACACCTTGTATCTCTTTTAAATTTAACATCCATGCTCCACTTCTCTTTGAATTTGGGCTTTACTTTGAGTTCGAGTTCTCTCCCAAATTTAGCCCCCCAAATATTCAAACAAAATCTAACTCCTACACCAACGAACTAAATTTTTTTAATATAATCGTTTTTATTTTCCCATTGGCTATACTTTTAGTAAAATTATACCAATTTATTGAGAGGTGTAAAGGTTTTTAATGGCTGTGTTAGGCTTAGTTTATGATTAATGTAGCTTTTCCTTGAATCACTTTGAGTTAACGGCTTATAAATAATCAAGTTTAGATAAAATATATATGGTGTCTATGTTGAAATGTGTTTACAAAACACCTTTGGACTGTTAAGAAATACTAACCACACCCTGAATATTGGATATGTCATGTTGACAACCTAGCATCCGTTTGACGTTAGTATTCATCTTTTGTGGTTGCAGAAAATAGTGCCGTCTCATCTTGAAGAAAAAATCTATGCTCAAACACTATGCGAGAGGGATAAAAGAACATTTTGATAATCAACTGTATCATAAACAGCTTTATTTTTGACCAAATTATGTGTATTTCAATTAATCATCTGGGACTTTAGAATTACCGACCGAATAAGAGCTTCAGTGACCATTCTTATTAGCAACTAAAGAGAGATTTGAACTTAAAACATCTTGAATAATACACCCAAGAGTCTCTATCAAATTGCTCGGCTACTCAGGAGTTGATTTAAGCATTTCTGCCTATTAATTTAAATAAGTTTACATACTTTTGAAGATTTGGCAAAAAGTGTTATGCTTGTGTTTGAACTATCTTATAAGAGCTGAATGTAACCACAAAAAACACGCATTATAGATGATTACATGATAAATCTCTGTGATAGCTAAAGAAAAAAGGGGCATCGAAATATAGCTAGAGATTTTAAAACACTGATCCACAAGTCATTTTCCCTACAGTGATGGATTCTCCTACTAACATGATGAAAAAACTTGACTAACTAACAATGTCCGACAAAATTTTGAAAAGCTGTTCGGATGCTTTCAGCAGGAATGACCATATTCACAATTTGAGTAACTGCACATAGTTCAGACTTCAGAATGCAGATTTGAAAGAGAAGAAAACCACATTCTTTTGCTACGTGCCCTATTCTTCAACAACTGAAAATAACTCGGATACATCTAGCTTGTAGCCTTCCCACATAGATTGCCTGGTGATCTCGTCTAGCATCTTATATATTAAGGAAGCATGCTTATGGGTCGAGTCACCTGCAACAAAATCATGAACAACTCCATTTATTTGCACACGACTTCGACCCGGAGGCTTTCTCACACCCATCTCAATCATCTTCTGTCTAACAGCAGCTACATCATGCCACCTTTTAGTAGTAGCATAAACATTAGCCAAGAGTACCAGATAACCTGCGGCGTGGTCAGGATCAAGTTCAATAGCCCATTTCTGTGCCACATCAGAGGCAAGCTCCGCATTGCAATGAATTCTGCAACCACCAAGGAGAGCACCCCACACAGCATCATTTGGTTTCATGGGCATACTATAAATAAGACTACATGCTTCACCCAGCAACCCTGCACGGCTCAAGAGGTCAATCATGCACCCATAATGCTCAATCCTTGGCTCAATCCCCCATCTTCGAGTCATACACTCAAAAATTTGGCGCCCCTTATCAACAGAACCAGCATGGCTACAAGCCCACAGAACCCCAAGCAAGGTTGTCCCGTCAGGTCTTGCTTCATTTGCTCCCAAATTTTGCAGCCATTCAAATAAAAGAAGAGCTTCGTTAGCATAACCGTGCTTTGCAAATCCCATTATTATACTTGTCCAGGAAATAATACTTCTCCGCCGCATCTTTCTAAACACTTCATAAGCTTCGTGAATTTCACCACAACTAGCATACATATGTATAAGTGCATTGTTCAAAGAAACTAAAAGTGTCTCTCTTCCAACAAAAAAATTCTCCTCAATATAAACATGTATCCACCTTCCCAACTTCAAGTCNTTATCCCTGGTAAATCTTTTTTGTTCCAATTTTGGAATAGGTCATGTAACCATCTATTTTCTATTTTTGGCCAGCCGCGGGTAGAAGCTACTATGGTAAATGCCAGAATCCGCAAGACAGTCCGAGCAACAAATGCTACGGTTGGTTACATTGGTCCTGAAACAGATTTCAATTACGATCACCAGCATCTTGGCACGGGCCCAAACACACTAGTTGAAATTGCTGAAGGTCGTCACGCCTTTAGCTCTGCCATATCAAATGCCAAAAACCCAGTTATTATTGTTGGTGCTGGGCTTTTTGAGAGGGACGATAAAGATGCCATTTTCTCTGCTGTTGAAACAATTGCGAAAAATGGGAATGTCATTAGACCTGACTGGAATGGGCTAAACGTATTACTTCTGAATGCTGCTCAAGCTGCGGCCCTTGATCTTGGACTTGTGCCCGAGTCCAGCAACTGTCTTGAGACTGCAAAGTTTGTGTACCTCATGGGCGCTGATGATGTCAACTTGGACAAGGTTCCCAACGATGCCTTTGTTGTTTATCAGGGCCATCATGGTGACAGTGGCGTGTATCGTGCCAATGTCATTCTCCCAGCTGCGGCATTTAGTGAGAAGGAGGGCACGTACGAAAATACAGAAGGTTGCTCTCAACAAACACTCCCTGCAGTTCCAACTGTTGGTGATGCCAGGGATGATTGGAAGATAATTCGGGCACTGTCTGAGGTGGCCGGAATGAGATTGCCATATGATACAGTTGGAGCCATCCGATCTCGGATCAGGACGGTGGCACCAAACCTCCTGCATATGGACGAGCGAGAGCCAGCTACATTTGGGCCTTCGTTGAAACCCAAATGCACCCAAAAGATGAGTTCGACCCCATTCAGTAGCGCAATTGAGAATTTCTACATGACTGATGCTATAACTAGAGCATCAAAAATAATGGCCCAATGCAGTGCAATGCTACTGAAGAAGTGAATGTTTGGATTTTCATTTATTTAATAAGGTGCAGATTCACTCTTTTTTTTGGGCTGCAGTCTAAGCTGTGTATTTGTTAAACTACTGGAAAGCGCTTCCAATAAAGTAAATTAGACATTGTTGGGTTTTGTAATTTGTCCTACAATGTAAAGGCATTTTAATGTACAACTTTGCTGCATAAATTTTTTGGGATTTTTTTCAATTTTTTTAATGTTTTTATGCTGATCTTCGAAAATATTCTCTAGTAATAGTAAGTATACTGATAGTCAACTGGCGGTTTAGGGGCTATTTATGAAAATTTCCTTTTTTTCATTATTTTTATCTTGTAAAACGTTAAAGAAATTGTGTGTTTATATTTTGTTCTTCTATTCAACAAAAAAAAAAATTACAATTTATAACAAAGAGTTAAGACAAACGGACAAAGAAGAAAACCGTTTTATTAATTAAATAAATAAAAGAAAAAATATATCATTATACTTAAAATAATAAATAATTGAATAAAGATTTTAATTTAACTAGATTTTTATTTATAATAAATTAATTAAGAAATAAATTGTTTAAGGGTATTCTCGTTATTTCAGTCAAATATTAACATAAAACACTAGAAGAACCTGATGAAATGTGGGAAAGTGTTATTTTGAAACTTGACGGATGAAAAAATATCGTTTTGCCAAACCTTGGGTGGAAAAATGTTGTTCTCCCATTTAAAAAAGATAACAGTGTAGTGGGACATTAGCATTCGACGATATCAATGGGTGTTTGACGATGTTGCTGTGATGTGGTTGATCTATTAACAAGTGACAGTGTAATCAAATGGTTCGTTTCTAGTTGGTTTGTTGACTTATCTTGTTGAAACAGATTGATTTTATTTAGAGTCTGTTTCTATATCGTATTTTAACAATGATCAAAGCACTTCCAAAAAACTTTATATGACTCAAACTCTTTATTATAAAGAGTTTATCCAGAAAAATAAGAGTTTATCCAGAAAAATAAGAGTTTATTAGACTCTTTATTCTTTAAATATAAATTAAAGAGTGAGTTTGACTCTCCACATCTAGAGAGTCAAATTTCATTCTCTATCCTAATTTTAAATAATAAATACAAGTTTTTATGTATTTTATTTATTATTTATCTCGCATATTAAGTTTTTTTATTGAAAAAATATATTCTCTCTCCTAAAATTTAAAGAGTCTATTGGATTTGAATAAAAATTTTGTTCTTTATATTTAAGAATTAGAGCATTATTGGAGATGCTCTAAGAGCATCTCTAAATGACTCTTTATATGACCAAAACTTTTTATTATAAAGAGTTTGTTCATAAGAATAAGAGTTCAATAAACTCTTTATGTTTTAAATATAAATTAAAGAGTGAATTTGACTCTCTACATCTAGAAAGTCAAATTTCACTCTCTATCCTAATTTTATTTAATAAATTACAAGTTTTCATGCATTTTATTTTTAATTCTCTCTCCTATTTATTAAGTTTAATTTAAAAAGTCAATTAGATTTGAATAAAAATTTTGTTCTTTATATATAGAAATTAATAAAAATACTCTTTATTTATGTAAAATATACCCTTTAAGATAAAAAAAACACCATTAAAGATGCTTTAAAATCATCCTTTAATTTACAAAGTCAATCAATATCACATATGTTGACACTTCATTTAGGATTTAAAATTCAAGATATATTTTGAGAAAAATTATTATTATTTTTAATATTATCTCAAAATACAAAATAATTGATAAAGAAAATGCATAAAAAAAAATGACAATAGGACAATGAAATCCATTAAGAGATTAATTGTTGGTAAATTATAACCACAAAAGTTATCATGAACTGAAAGATTTAATTCCTGTTCTTCAGAAATCCATCTCATTGCATCTGCAAAATTTCTTAAACAAATTAAGATCATCCAAATTACATATTCAAGAAGAATACCAAAGCACGCATGCAATGAGAGTAAAATATGAAAGAATTTTGAGTCAGACAAAGATCTACGACTAAAAATAAATACGACTAAACAAAAGAAAACTACCATCACCACCATTTACAGCCACTTATTATCTCCCATCTGCTGATGTGAATGACTCGGCAAATCCATACGGGCGTGTAGGTATGCTCGTCTGAGTATTGTCTAAGCTGGGAAGAAGCGACGAAGAAGAAGAATCCAAGTAGCTTCTACCTTCATAGGCTTGCCACTTCTTCAGTGCTTGTGGCAATGACATCTCAAGGTCAATGCCATACACATCTTCGGAATTTTGGTCAGCTGGTTTCCAGAACTCAACCAAAGAAGATAACACATTCACAGCATGACCCATATCAGGCCTTTGATATGGCTCCCTTGCACAGCAGTGACCTGCCAGCTCAGCAACGGTGCTGATGCTGGCAAGGGTTTCTTCGTTGAGGTCTATTGTGGGGTCGATTGCCTTGCGAAATGAGTCCTTGTTGATGTGCATCCTTCGGAACCATGTTACAAGGTGCATGCTCTCCTCAGGCTGGCTCTCATCTAGAGCTTTTCTACCTGTGATTAGTTCCATCAATATCACTCCAAAGCTAAACAGATCAGCTTTAGTTGTTACCCGACCTGTCACTGCAAGAAAGAGAGACAGTTTCTGTCAATAAACTAGAAATCAAATTAAAAAATAACTAAATGCAAATATTAAGCCAATGAACAAGTCCTAATATAAAAGAAAATCCATCAAAGACGAGAAAATAAAATGATCAAGCTAGACAAAGTTGAATTTTTGCAAAATCGAAAGCATGAAATCTTGTTGAAAAGCAAAAGGGTGAAGGCGGAGGGAACACATTTGAACAAGTAATAAAGTATTCATACCAAACATCATATTTCTAGTATTCTATTAGTTTTATATTCACATATTACAAGTTTTACAATTCATGTCATACAAGTGGAAGGTTGAAAATTACAAATTCTAAGTAACACGTCTAATGAGAACAGTATTTATTTATTTATTTTTATTTCAATACTTTAATGTGAGGGTCTTGTACATGCTCACATGAAATCATAATCATCGACTGCATCATAAGCAGTGACAACAAGGTCATCGTCCGGTCTATCAACCAGAAGCTGTTTCTTCTTCACACCTGGAGAAAAACAAAAAACCAGGTTAAACAATTTACCACAAGCCTTGAACAATGCCGAAACATTCCTACTCCATTAAAAGCTAAACTAGTTGTTTATGAATATGTATGTGCGTTAGTTGCATTTTGAAGAATATGTAAAAGCAATCTCAGCTCTTGCAACGAGCTGGCCGATGAAGAATGAGCGACATCTGACAGAAATGCACAGGATCTATTTGTTTACTTGAAGTAAATAACCTAACAAAACTATTCCTACCTGTTTTCTTTTTGCCAGCATTGGCTTCTTTCTCGGCTTTGAGCTTCTCATTCGCGATTGCTGAGACTGAAGAGGAGATCTCTTTTGCATCAGCAGCTTTTAGAGATGTCATTGACAGCCTCATTACTGCCTTTAGTAATCCTATGTAATGGAAGCTTTTCTGTAGTGAAAATATGCCAGTGTCAAACTAAAACTCCGAATAGCAATTCAAAAAGCTACAAGTTTAATCACACAGCATTGACAAATAACAATACCTCATAGGGGCGCAGTTTATGTGAAATGAGCTCAGCATACTCCAAGAAATCACTTTCAGATTTAGGAATAAAATTGTCAAGGGTCTTCTCATCACCTTTCTTTGAAAACAGTTCTGTGGTTGACTGATAATCAGCTTCTTCCACAAGTCTGTGATAATTAGAAATATATAAGCACTTCAACAAATAAACCCAAGTAAATTCACCCATTCTCACTTGAAAACATATTATTTCAACACGTTTTATAGAAATATTATGAAGAAATAAAAATAACCAAAGCATAATATTTAGTCACTGTGACCATACCACTGAAGTAAGAAGCCATGATGTTATCAGATATAACCCCTGGATAAAAATCAGGGCTATTAATATGGCTTGAACCAAGATAATGGTATTACCTTTGTTGGCGAAGCTTCTCCGCTACAGGATCCAATGGCACTTCCTTTGCTTCTTCAGCTACATTTTTCTTTTTCTCACTAGGTTTTTTGTCAGCTTTTTTGGAGACCTTTTCAGCAGGAGGAGCTGGTGCAGGTGCCTGTCAAACCAGTGAAACAATCAAACAACAGCATACAACTTTCACTCAGTAAAAAGACAAATAAAATTTCTATGTATAGAATATGCAATTTATGTCATGAATATAATTTGCAGGAGGATCTGCATTATGATGGCTATCAGTGGCAGGGGCCTTCATACTGCTCTTCCTTCCAAATTATTCAAATAAGCATCAAAAACCTAAACTGAAGAGCACAAATTCCATCATTGTGGAGCATGGATGCGTCAGGCATTTGGTTGGAGCAGACAATGCTATAAGAAATAGATTCATGAGGTCTTGCATCTAAGACCCTGAAGAGGTCAGCTCCCACAAGAAGGGAACTACCAGACAGCATGACTTGTGAATGAGAATTCCAGTTTTCTGCTTAAGTACGCTTCTAGTTGCAATGCTAAGAGACTTATGCTCTTTTGGATAACTCTGTCATAAAAGACAACTTCCACGCTCAATTATACCTGTTACACTACCCTGAAAGCACACATACATATGACAACTACACATGAAATCTAGGGATATACATCAACTCTAAAATAACTTCAAGTAACATTGACACACTAGAAATGTACACCCCAGTCAAAATTAGGGTCAGTACTCTTTGCACTTCAAAAATAAATTTCCTTAATGAGCTATTATTTAGATGACAAAGAATTACAAAGACTCGTGTAGAGAAATGTGGATCAGTGCCCTGCTCCATGCTAATATTCAAGACAGCAAGTTCTTAGACTCCTGATAAATGACAAAGTTAATTCACTAGACAGTAGCTATTATAGGTTGCATGCTTAATGCAATTTCTTACTCATCATCCACAAGTAATATAAACAAAAGTTAACAAATATGATAAAGAAAAGGACAACGGGTGCCATACCGGAGCAAGTTCATCTTCATCCTCCCATGAATCTTTTACATCATTCTCTTCTACATCTTCCTCATCCCATGCACTTTTAGGCAGATCCTTTTTAGGAAGAGGTGGAATTACATCATCCTCTGAAATGGTTGTAAACATAAACATAAAATGTATCGTCGTTTGTATAAAATATAAAATAAGAGCACAAAAAGGAAAATTCTAAGAAGCACAGTCCAAAAATACTTCAAGATGATATTTTTGCGGCATAACTATCCACAACTCCAAACACCAAGAAAATAAAATAAACACAATCCATACGGTCCCAAAAATAAATCAAAGCAATACTCTTAAACAAATTCACAAGAGAACATTCAAATCAGCCAGAATCGGAAAAACCCTATTCTCCACACCAGGATTTTATACAAGCTTCATTATGCTTACCTTAGTTTGCACCATGATTTCAAGCCAAGAAAGAGATCGAATATATATATACCAACCTCCATGGTTGTTAGTTCAAATTTTCCAACCATGTCACTAACTCAAGTAATGAAACCCTACCATTAATCAATCTGTCAACAGTTTTCTTCTCACATAAAGCTTGCTCCTCCTTCCCATCCTTCCAATACATAAACCTTAATAAAAAATTTTGGTAGGTTCCGAAAAATCATAATAGGTTAAGATAGGGAAGTTCTAATTCCCATCAGACTCCAAACATTCCTCAAATAATTCTAATTGTGTTCACTACCAATTAAATTTTCCTATTCCTTGCTCTTCTACTCTAGAACTTGTTGTGTCAAGATAAAAATGACATTTATTTAAGTATCTCCACTGAATAAGGCCTAATCACATTGTACATGCTAAAACACATAGATTCCATCACTTAATATGTAACGAGATTACCTGTTAGCTTAGGCCGAGTTGCACAAGTATACATATGATTAAAGACTAACGAGAGCACCTTATAATAATGAAACAAGTATATGCTATATTTTGTCAAGTCAGTTAAACTTCCGAGATCAAATTCTTGTCCCAGAAAGTCTTACAACATTAATATGTTTTACCAGAAAGCACATACCCAATTTTACTAAAACTCAGTTGAGAGAAAAAAAATTGAAGACCAACTTAACTCAAGACAAAACAAAAGACAAATAACTGCTATAATCCAATTAAAAGTTCTCAAATTCCACCCCAGTTTAAAAATCCACAAAAATTTCATCAAACAAAACTCATAAAATAAAAGAACAATGCTCACCCCAATCTTCCATCTTCCTTGCAGAATCCAAAGTTCAAATATCACCTGCACATCAACACAAGGCAACACATCAATTATTCGACAAAAAGAAAACCTTAAATTCGTATTTATTATCATCGAGAATACCCAAACAAAGAAAAATTAGTCTAAAAAGTCCAAGAGCAAATTGAACAAGCCGAAAACAGTAAGTAATCAAACAAGAAGGCAGCAATCGAAAATTTGATAACCAGCGAACGAAGAAAATAGAATCCACTTAGAGTCGAACGAATCGAAGCGAACTTACCGAGGTGGAGAAATTATTCGAACCAAAACCCTAAAAGACGAACCAAGACGAAACGAAAAGAAAGTGAGAGAAAATATAGGGAACTCGAATCTTCTAAGAAGAATCGAAAAAGTATTGATGGTCGGTCAGAGTTGTGAGCGCCAGAGGGTAAAAGCTGGAGGCTTTCAAAGCCTATGCTGTTTTCGAAGACTGAAATACACCGGTAGAGTTTAGGGTTAAAATCATTTCACCCATTAAGTTTCAGAAAATAATTTTAGACCCAGTGATTTTAGGAAGTGACATTTTTGTCCTGATAATTTTGGGGAAGTGTTTAAAATCATTTTCACCCTTTAGGTTTTGGAGAATTTTATTTAGTAGTCCATCACACTTCATTTTATGGCTTCATCAAAGATGAAATTTTACCAATACTTAGTGTTTTAGCGTTAAGGTGACATGAGCAACAAGACAATTTTGCATCGAATATTAAGCTTAATTTTAATAGTTTTAATTGCGTCAAGCAATTGATATATTTTGTTTTATTTTTTATTTTGAAAAATGTTATTATATAATTGACTAAACTACATTTTACCCTATTTAACTCTCACCATTGATTAAAAGCTTCCAAGGGCGTTTGCGCCTCAAAAGAGGTTGATGTAGCCCCAGAATATAAGTTATTTAAATGATATCAATGTATTTGACTACAAGGCATTGAAGATATCGATCTCTTTTTTGTAAGTAATTAATAATATGCAACTTCAAGTTGTCAATTATAGGGGTGGATGGGTTTGAATACCCCCAAATCCCATGGAACTGGAATAATTGACATGTATCGATTCTTAAATGCCTGGAACTGGAGCCTGAAACACAGGTTGTGGGTACCCTAAAAAATTACAATACCCCCTATTATTCACAAGAATGACAATAAACCTTGTGAAAATTAAATACACCCCCAATTGTTCATAGAAATTACAAATAAATCCTAGCCACCCGTTGATTCCACCCTAGTTACTCGAACCTCAGTTCTGGCTTTAGTTTATGGTTCCAGTTCCTAAAATGGTGGAACCGAAATCGAAATCATATAGTGTCGGTTCCACCAAATTTGAAACCATAACTGACCCTTTTTATGCTGTTTTTGGGTAGGAACCAAAATCGAAACCTTGGGTACCCACCGATTCGGATTCTACCTGGATTTTTTGCTCGCCTCCAATCAATTATATCATTTATAGAAGAGCTAATAACAATTACTTATATTATTGAAGATGATTAATGAAACTATTTTGGCTCCATTTGGTTGGTTATTTAGAATAGCATTCTAGCATTTTTGGAAAATAGGATAGGATTTCTGAGAAGTTTTTGGTACATTTATGAATAGCATTTTCTGAAAATATTTAAATTATTTTTAATCCCCTAGTTTGTTAATTTAACTAAACACCCCCAACAATAAAAGTTTATAAATTAACAAAAACACCCCACCTACCAACATATTGCATGTAGCCAGCCACCATCGCCAAAAAAGTGGCTGGAATCTGTCGCAATGCCACACGATCAGTTGGATCTAGACAGTTGTGCGCTGATATAACCCTTTTCTAGCTACATCCACCATAGATCTGGTCAGAAAAGGCCAGATCTATGGCCACAGATTTGGCCGTCACAAGACATGACCATCATCAACGGCCAAGTTTGGTTGTCAACGGCCAGATCTTTGGTCGTAGATTTGACTTTTTTCGACTAGATTTTCAGCTAGATTTATAGCTAGATCGATGCATGACTGGTCAGATCTAGCCGGTCATGAGCAATTACAGTAGATTTCGGCCACCTTTTGACGATGGTGACGAGAATCTAGCAATATGTGGGTGGATGAGGGTGTTTTTGTCAAATTATAAACTTTTATTGTTAGGGGTGTTTAGTTAAATTAAAATGATTGAATTTTGAGAATATTAAAACAAATGCATTTTTGAGTTTTTAGGATATGATAATGTAATAGGATAGGATACGAAAAATATGCCAAACGGACCCAAATTTTTCTAAAGTATTAAAAAAAAACCTAGTGATCATATTATTTTAGTTAACAAATTTTACTAACAGATTTTAACAGTGTATGAGAAAGTTTTGTTTTGAAACTTTTTGGGTGAGAAATTATCATCTGGCTAAACCTTGTATGGGAAATTATTGGAAACTCTTTATAGAAAGGTGGAATACTAGGTTTGCCCTTGACGATTCGAGACTTTTTTTGCCTGGGTCAATGAATATTATTTCAAAAAATAGCAAATACGTCCCTACATATAATAGATTATAGAAGCAAGGATTTTGACATAAATGGAGGCCTAAGCGCGCTGGTAGCGCCTTCCTCATAAGTCATAAGGCGGTTGAGTGAGCACCACGCACACACACGAGTTTATGTAGCTGAGAGAGACTGTTTATTTATTTATTTTTATTATCACACAATTTTCTATTCGGTTATTCCTTCGGCCCCAAGCCTATTTCCTCGCTCTCTGGGGGCCTATAAATACCCATTTCTTCTGTCGTTATTTTCTCCACTTTCTCCTCTTGGTTTCTTTAGAGAGAAACCGAAAAGCAAATAAATAAATCAATCTTGATTGAGACAAACGCTATTTGTTCATCAGGTATTTCTATTTTCATGCATTGTCTCTCTTTCATTTCCAGTTTTGCAAGTTTTTAGATTATGTTATTTGATTTAATTCGTTTCATATTAGGGTTTTCTGTTTTATAATCTTCTTGTTTATATATATTTTGTTACAGTTCTTGAGGAATTCAAGAAAAGGGTTTTTGTGTGCGTGATTGAATTAGAAATAGTGGTTGAGTTGAGCTGTGTTGTGTTATTGAATTGAAGAAGAATTATGAGCTCTCATTCTCAAGTTCGAAATGATAGAAATGATAGAAGGGATAGGCCTAGATTTACTGCTCAAGGTGCCCGCCAAGAATGGATCCCAAGAGGAGCAACACCCACGTCTTCAGTAATAACCCCACCTCAGGCCTCGAATGTAATTGGAAATGGGATTGGTGGGCCAACAAGTTATAGCTCCATGCCGCGAGATAACCACGGCAGAGGAAGAATTGACTTCAGAGGGCAAAAGGGGCAACCTGTGAATAATCGTCGGGATAGGAATGGGAGTAAGGATAAGAAGGAGCAGGACCCGAATATGCCACAACTTGTACAAGAAATTCAGGAGAAGCTCGCGAAGGGTTCGGTTGAGTGCATGATTTGTTATGATATGGTTAGGAGGTCTGCACCAATATGGTCTTGCTCGAGTTGTTACTCAATTTTCCATTTGAATTGCATTAAGAAATGGGCTCGGGCGCCTACTTCTGTTGATTTGTCAGCTGAGAAGAGTCAGGGGTTTAACTGGCGGTGTCCGGGATGTCAATCTGTGCAGCTGCTGTCATCAAAGGAGATTCGGTATGTTTGTTTTTGTGGGAAGAGGCCTGACCCACCTTCTGATTTGTATTTGACTCCACATTCGTGTGGGGAACCATGTGGGAAGCAGCTTGAGAGCGAGATTCCAAATTCTGGTTTGAGTAAGGAGGATCTTTGCCCTCATGTTTGTGTCTTGCAGTGCCATCCAGGTCCATGCCCTCCTTGTAAGGCATTTGCTCCACCCCGTTTGTGCCCTTGTGGGAAAAAACTAATTACAACTCGATGCTCTGATCGAAAGTCTGTTCTAACCTGTGGTCAGCAGTGCAATAAGCTTCTTAGTTGCTTGCGGCACCGGTGTGAGCAGATATGCCATTTGGGTCCTTGTGATCCTTGCCAGGTTCTTGTCAATGCATCATGTTTTTGCAAGAAAAAGCTGGAGGTTGTTCTTTGTGGAGACATGGCTGTGAAGGGGGAAATTAAAGCAGAAGATGGTGTCTTTTCTTGTTGTTCAACTTGTGGAAAGGAGCTTAGTTGTGGACACCATAAATGTGGTGAAATTTGTCACCCTGGCCCTTGTGGGGATTGCGAATTGATGCCAAGTAAGATCAAGTCTTGTCATTGTGGAAAAACAAGCTTGCAGGAGCAAAGGAAGAGTTGTTTGGACCCAATTCCAACTTGCACACAAAAATGTGGCAAAGCTCTTGCTTGTGGAGTGCACCATTGTAATGAGGTGTGCCATTCTGGGGATTGTCCACCTTGTTTGGTTCATGTCACTCAAAAGTGTCGTTGTGGTTCAACATCTCGAACTGTGGAATGCTATAAAACAACAGGGGATGAGAAGTTCACATGTGAAAAGTCTTGTGGGCGGAAGAAGAATTGTGGCAGGCACCGGTGTAGTGAACGGTGTTGCCCTCTTTCCAACTCTAACAACCTTGTTTCTGGAGATTGGGATCCACACTTTTGCCAAATGTCCTGTGGGAAGAAGCTGAGGTGTGGACAGCATTCTTGTGAATCGTTGTGTCACAGTGGTCATTGCCCTCCCTGCCTTGAAACAATCTTCACTGATCTGACTTGTGCTTGTGGGAGGACTTCAATCCCTCCTCCTTTGCCTTGCGGTACACCTACTCCTTCATGTCAGCTCCCTTGTGTAGTTCCTCAGCCTTGTGGCCATTCAGCATCTCATAGTTGTCATTTTGGAGATTGCCCACCTTGTTCAGTGCCTATAGCTAAGGAGTGCATTGGTGGGCATGTGGTTCTCAGGAACATACCTTGTGGGTCAAAGGATATTAGATGTAACAAGCTCTGTGGCAAGACCAGGCAGTGTGGTATGCATGCATGTGGCCGAACTTGTCACCCAGCGCCTTGTGATACTGCTGGAGTATCTGTATCAGGCTTGAAAACTTCTTGCGGGCAGATCTGTGGTGCTCCAAGGAGAGATTGCAGGCATACATGTAAAGCATTATGCCACCCTTCTGCCATTTGTCCTGATGTAAGATGTGAATTTACTGTTACCATCAGTTGTTCTTGTGGCAGAATCACAGCCAGTGTTCCTTGCGATGCTGGAGGCAGCAATAGTGGTTTTAATGCTGATACTGTTTTAGAAGCTTCCCTTCTCCAAAAGTTACCTGTGCCACTTCAACCAGTGGAATCAACTGGCAAGAAGATTCCTCTGGGTCAGAGAAAGCTTATGTGTGATGATGAATGTGCTAAATTGGAACGTAAACGGGTTCTTGCAGATGCCTTTGATATCAACCCTCCAAATTTGGACGCACTTCATTTTGGTGAGAACTCTGCTGTGTCTGAGTTGCTTGCAGACCTGTATAGGCGAGATCCGAAATGGTTGCTTTCTGTGGAGGAGAGATGCAAGGTCTTGGTGCTCGGAAAGAACAGAGTATCTACAAATGGTCTTAAGGTTCATGTTTTCTGTCCAATGCTGAAGGATAAGAGAGATGCAGTAAGGCTAATAGCTGAGAGGTGGAAGCTTGTTGTCCAAGCTGCTGGTTGGGAGCCGAAGCGTTTCATTGTGGTTCATGTCACACCCAAATCTAAGCCCCCACCGCGGATTATGGGGATCAAGGGTGCATCCACTGTAAATGCAACTCATCCACCAGCTTTTGATCCTCTAGTGGACATGGATCCCAGGCTTGTTGTTTCTTTTCCAGATTTGCCCAGGGAAGCAGATATAAGTGCATTGGTATTAAGATTTGGAGGGGAATGTGAACTGGTTTGGTTGAACGACAAGAATGCATTGGCTGTATTTCATGATCCGGCCCGGGCAGCAACTGCCATGAGGAGGTTGGATCACGGATCAGTTTATTATGGGGCTGTTGTGGTTATGCAAAATGGTGCATCAGCAGCATCAACAGCAACCAACGCCTGGGGAGGTGCAGGGACAGTCAAGGAAGGAGTGACCCTTGCATCTCTGAAGGGCAACCCATGGAAGAAGGCTGTAGTTCAAGAGCCGGGTTTGAGAGAAAATTCATGGGGTGAAGAAGAATGGTCTGGTGATTTCGGAGATCTGCAGGCATCCGCATGGAAAAAGAAAGATGCTCCTATTGCTGCTTCAATAAACCGCTGGACTGTCCTAGACTCAGAAACATCTACGAGTTCATCTGCTGCACCTCTGAGAGCTGAAGATCCTTTAAAAAGGGCAGCAACTCAATCCAGTTCAGGATTTGAGTCAAATTCAAGTAGCTCAAATCCAGCAGGGCAGCCTGGGACAACAACTTTGAATGAAACAGATCAGTCAGAGGTGGTTGATGACTGGGAGAAGGCGTATGATTGATAGAAATGATATATTTGAACAAACTTATGATTTTGAGAGCAAAAAAAAAAAAAAAAAAAAAACATTTTTTTTTTTGCTTTTTCGTTTAATCAACGAGCGTATTTTCTATAATTCGCATTCCCTTTGCTTAGTTTTTTTTGTCATTAAATTGTGGTGGGAAGTGCGAACATTTAATTTCGCTGTACGGAAGATATTGATATTTTCTGTGTAGGTGAATATTTGTTATATGGAAGAAGAAGCTAGAAATACTATTTTGTAATTGAGGGTATTCTGCTTGTCAAAAGAAGTTTGTAATGTCATTTTTTACAGAGAAGATCCTAATCCTATTGAACTTCCCTTTTCAGTTGCATCTTTTAAATGAAAAAATGGCTACGACAGAAAGCACATAGTTGGAACCAACTAATCATATAGTTGGAACCAACTAATTAAACAGTTTCATGTAGTCTGAGACATGTACTCAAGCAATAATCAGTTGGTTATCGCCTTACATTGACATGTTCATGTTCAGATTTTCTTCTTTGCAACTTTTTCACATTATTAATGGATGAAAATCCTCTCATTTAAAACATTTTAGGATCGATTTTGGCGGAAAAAAGGCTTTGTCTATGAATTCCACTCCCTAAGGGTGTGGATGGAGACATGGAGAATCCCTCCCATCAAATATTAGAACAGTTTAAAAAAAGGAAAATGTTATAGCTACAATTTTTTCTCACAATATTTCTTTCTCGCAATTCTGACAGCTTTCAATTAGTTAGCTTCCAATGGATTTCACCTAATAAATTACCAATTACAAACCGTCACGTCAAGATTATAAGAGAGATTGTAAAGGTAACATTTTCAATTAACACGTTTGCAATATTTTCCTTTGGTTGGCAAATCTTATATATGTATATTTAATGATTTTGTAACTTAATATTTAATGATTTAAGCTTTTGATGCTGCTTTTTGCTTATATAACAGGTGATTTGCACCCAAACTTACATTTTGTAACCAGTACTTTGGGGGATATTCTTTAATTTTCTTAAGTGCAATTGAATGCAACACCTAGTATCAAGCGCATACAAGATGCAAAACTAGTGGCAAGATTGGGGATTTATGAACTTGTCCATGAAATTCTGGAGGCCTATTTTTATTCCTTTTACTTTTATTGACAACGACAATCATGGAATATTTGAGCTTGCAGTTCTACATTGCCATTAAAAAAACTGTTTAATTTCATAAAGAAAAACGAATTTTCCTCAATATCATCTGACAGGAGCCAGCTAGAATTTTGAAGAATATGTAGAGAGAAACGCGAAGCCGACTGAATTTACAGAACACTCCACCTACTTGACGTAAAGGAAGGATGCAAATGAGTATATATTCCTTATCTTCTACATTTAAGGATTGAGTATTTGAGTCCTTGGTATCCATTTCTTGATTTCTCCTCTTAACCTATTAATTTCTCTCTATCTCCCTATCTAGACTTAATTCTATATTATCTGTCTGTGTTATTCTTCTCCTCCTTTATCACCCAAGGAGCAAAAATATTAGCTACTAAGACATTATAACTACCATCCAACATTTCACTGCATCAAGAATCTAATAGAAAATCATTAAACGGTAAATCCACAAAACAGATGCTGCAATGAAGTCTATACAGATTTGAGACAGATTTAGATGTAAAAAACAGAGACTCATAGCTAACTTAACAGCTTATTAACTAAGTTATAAGATTACACCGTTTGATAACCTTAGGGGGATCTTACCCGAGTCCATTTTCACACCATGCTGCTTCACAGATTTCAATGGCATTTTCACACCATGCTGCTTCAAAGAGTCCGCTACAGGAACTGCATATGTAACACCAGACCATATTTCTCTCAACTGCAATATTGTCATGTCAACTGTTCCAACAGGTAGACCTGATTGAGCGGCCCCTGCCATGCATCCATAATCTTTAAGAAATTATAGTTAAGAACCTTCTCCAATGCTCTTCTTGCTTTGTCTTCATCAGCTATCGTTGAAAGAGTGCCTGATCGTGCATAGCTACATTAGAGACATACCTGGTAAGTTCCAGTCTTATCAGATTTGAACTACAATATATATATTGAGAAAAAGAAACATGTGAAACACTATAACTAAATCGAGATTTATCACGCCTGGATATTTGAGAGTATCAATCAATGAAGTTAATCAGTTGCAACATACCATCGTCCAGGAAACCGATCAGCTTGAACAGATGAACTTGAGCGGCTACCATTATTTTCGTAGTTGAAGTCAGAACCATTCCCCAATTTCTTATATACAACTTTTTCTTACAGAAGTTTGCACCAGAAATAATCCTCAAACCCTTAAGACCTATTTCACATGCAAATGCTGATGCAGCCTACGATGCTGCCACCTCCACTATATGCAATTAAAACAGAAATAGATCACATATCGTATGTCTAATCAAGGAAGCCATCATTTTCAATCATCCCCATCACCATCCCTATCAAATTTGAACAGATGAAAGTGTTAACTGAACCTTCTTCTTACCGTAATTAACATAGAGCATTTGGGCAGCTGGATGAACTTTTGCAGGATTCTGATCTGAAAAAAGTTTAATACTCAGTAAAGTTGTATCAAGTAAACTTCAATTTCTCTTTTGGACCAAATTGAGGAAGCTGGTTCAAACATTCACGATAATTTTCGGCCTTCATAAGTAACTGCATGACTAAGGACATTATAAATTCAGTCGGCTTCACATTTCTCTCTGCCATTTTATGAAGGAGTTCAACAACTTTTGGCATCTCATCATTTTTTAGGAAACCAAACATGAGCGTACCAAATGTGACTACATTTGGAGCACAACCTTTTTCCTCCATATATGACAACAACTCATTTGCCTTTTCTAGTTCTCCACTGTTACAGAGCCCATTGATCAAGGTGGTATATAAAATCACATCAGGCCTAATCCCTTCTGAAATCATCTTTTGATAAAGACTAAGAGCTTTGTTGACCATTTTGTTCTTGCAATACCAATTGATTAAAGTACTGTACCATACAACATTAGCTCTATACCCCTCTCTAGTTATAGAATTCAACAACTCTCTTGCATAACCAATTCTACCTGCTAAGCAATAACCATTCATTAAAATGCTATAAATATAAGCGTCAGGTTCCACACCTTGTTGAACCATAAGTTGCAACAACCTATTTACTTCGTCCAGTTTCCCTTCCTTGCAAAGAAAATCTATGACCACAGTAAATGTCACCACACAAGGCTGCACACCTTGATCCATCATCGATATAAATAAACTTTTAACAATCTCCCAATCACCCACATGACAAAAACCATGAATTAGAACAGTATAAGTTACTATGTTTGGACTAATTCCCGAGCTCTTCATTTCCAAAAATAACTGTCTAGCCTTCTTAATTAATCCATCCTTACAAAGACCATCGATTATAATACTATAGGTAACCACGTTTGGCCTACAAGTAACACCAGATTCTTCATTTCCCTTAGCCATTTCTTCATGCAACTTAATGGCAACACTTACATTCCCAGTTTGACACAATCCACCCATCAAAGTCCCATAAGTGATCACATCAGGCCTACAACCAACAGTAACCATTTTCTTAAGCAACTCCATCGACTCCATAATCTTTCTCTCTACGCACAGACCTTTGATCAAACAAGTAAAAGTCACCACATCTGGGCTAAAACCCTTCTTCAAAATCACCCCAAAAACCGCAAAACTATCCGATGACCTTTCAATATTACAGAAGCAATTAATCAAAATTTTCAAAGAAATAAAATCTGGAGACAACCCAGTTGAATTAAAACACTTATAAAGCGAAATCATTTCATAATAATACTTCTTCTTAGCTAGTGCACCAAACAATATGTTGAATGATGAAATTGGAGAAATAGGTTGCGAATTAATCATGTAATAAAAAAAGTTCAATGCTTCATTCAGAGTAAAGTTACCCGATCGACAATTTTCTTTGAGGAATTTTGCAAGTGAGGATCGTTCAAGGGGTTTTTCGAAAGAATACAAAACTTCATTTTTGGAGCTTGAAGTTGTGAGGTTGTGTAAGTGAGCCAACAAAGATGAAATGTTCCCTTTAAGAGATGAGTTTTGAGAGATTGAAGATAAACGAAATGGGGATCTCAAAGCCATGTATGGAGATTGAAGAGTGTTTTTCGGAAGTAAGGTCATTGCAAACTTATGTAAAGTATCGATCTTTCCTTACCAAACCACCTTCTTGATTTCTAAAATGAGTGAATAACTTTTTCTCACCCCAAAAATGGCTTAACGACTTTTCCACCCACAAACTTTTAAAATATCATTTTACTATCTAAATTTGTATTTCGACGATGAACAAAGAGCAAATTCAATCCAAACTATTATGGCTTTTGAAGAGAGAAGGTCGATGAATATTTTGGTGGTAGAAGATTGTATTTGGTGGTTAGGTTTGATCGAAATTTGACTTGGGAGGAGCGGTTGCGCTAGGGATGGACATAGGCTAAGGCGAGGCTAGGGACCCCTGTCTTTGACCTCGGCCTGAAAGGCCAAGGAAATTCTCCAGTCTCGGCCCGTATCTCGAACGGAAAATTCAGAGAATCCTCGAATTAGGTCCAATCCCTAAATGAGGAATTCGGGGATTCCTCGTTTAGGGTTTTTCATTATAATTTTTTTTTTTAATTTATAATGATTTATTATAATGAATCAAAGTATCAAAATTATATTTATGACTACATTATACATATATGTAAATATATTATATATTAATGGTACAGTATTATGTATTATCGTATTAATAACAAGTATTAACATATGAATATATGATATTTATGATTACAGATAATAACATATGATGTATAATATATAATATATTATAATAAATTCTAAATAAATTATACCATAAATTCTAAATAAATAGCTACTATAATATAACAAGGGCAATTAGGTAATGGAATTGAAATAATGATTCAGACAAAAAAAAAAAAAAAAAATTATAATGATTTATTGATTTATTATAATCGATTAAAATATCAAATGGTATATATATACAAGGCGAGGATCGGCCGGGCTGAGGCGGGCAACACCAATCTCGTCCCCGAATTCGGGGACCGATTTTCAGCTTGGGCCTGACCCAAATCCGAAATAATTCGGGGAAACTTCACCCCGTTCGGGACAAGTCTCCATGAGGGTGGGTATTATGCCCATCCTTAGGCTGCATAAACCTTAATTACTCGATTGCCAGAGATTGATTGAGTCGGTGAGAGTAGGGTTTGAGGGTTTTTGGTAAGTGATGATCGGGAAAGATAACGATGGTGATGCGAGGTCGCAATAATGCCAAAACTGAAAATGGAATATAAATTTAGGTAATAAGGTAATATTTTAATACTTTATGATGAAAAAATGTCATTAAATTATTATTTAGGTGAGAAAAAACCGTTTACTCTTTCGAAAATTGTTCACTTAGCACCCTGAACGTTAAAAATGTAAATCCATGCTCAAGTGCTTCACGGGTGAAGGTGGTTTTCTACTAAATCCAAAATTGTCCGATGGATCAAACAAAATGCAACCAATTTATATAAGTATTCAAGCAGAAATTTTTTTTTACTTTTTTTTTTTTTAAAATTATAAGATTTAAATAAATCATAGTATTAAAGTTTAAATTTAATTTACAATGATATTAAAAAAAATATTTTTTTTCTTTATTCTTCAAAATTTTACATATACCAAAATTTTAAATATGGTACAGTAATTGTACTCATAATGAATTATAAATAATATTATTTTAGTAATATAATACTTCACATATTCGAATGTGATACATTAAAATTCAAGAAATTGTTTTCTACTTTTTAAAAGGTCATATGAATAATGTTTTGTTTATTATATAACAGAGTTATATCAAAGGACTTGAAGTTTAATATAATAAAAATAATCTAATTTATTGACGGACTTGAGGTTTAAAATAATAAAAATTATCTAATTTACAACATTTAAGGATCGATTTTGGTGAAGAAAACGTTATGTCTACGTGGAACAAAGTAAAATTTTTAATTTTGTATCACTATAAAAGCAAAAGTATGCTAAACATATAAAATATAAAGAATTTTCTTTTTTAACTCTAAAATCCCAATGATATTACGAAAATAAATAGAATAAATCTTTGAATTTTGTAGTGATTCCTGTGCAAGAAGAACCGGGTTCCACTCTCTACAAGAGCGTATGGTGACATGGGATCATAGAAGAACAACAAATTCCACCCCTTAACAGTGTGGATGGAGACATGAAGAATCCCTCCGATCAAAGATCACAATAGGTAAAAGAATTCTGGAGGCCTATTTTTATTCCTTTACATTTATTGACAACGACAACCATGAATTATTTGAGCTTGTAGTTCTACACCACCATGAACTTCCCTCAATATCATCTGACACTGAAAGGAGCCAGCTCGAATTTTGAAGAATATAACATTATGCAAAGTATGTACCTTCAAGTGAAATCTTGGGTACAGCACTCCAGATGCAGAGAGAATTTACAAAGACAACCATGATTTATTGACAACGACAACCATGGATTATTTGAGCTTGTAGTTCTACACCACCATGAACTTCCCTCAATATCATCTGACACTGAAAGGAGCCAGCTCGAATTTTGAAGAATATAACATTATGCAAAGTATGTACCTTCAAGTGAAATCTTGGGTACAGCACTCCAGATGCAGAGAGAATTTACAAAGACAACCATGGATTATTGACAACGACAACCATGGATTATTTGAGCTTGTAGTTCTACATCACCATGAACTTCCCTCAATATCATCTGACACTGAAAGGAGCCAGCTCGAATTTTGAAGAATATAACATTATGCAAAGTATGTACCTTCAAGTGAAATCTTGGGTACAGCACTCCAGATGCAGAGAGAATTTACAACGACAACCATGGATTATTGACAACGACAACCATGGATTATTTGAGCTTGTAGTTCTACATCACCATGAACTTCCCTCAATATCATCTGACACTGAAAGGAGCCAGCTCGAATTTTGAAGAATATAACATTATGCAAAGTATGTACCTTCAAGTGAAATCTTGGGTACAGCACTCCAGATGCAGAGAGAATTTACAAAGACAACCATGGATTATTGACAACGACAACCATGGATTATTTGAGCTTGTAGTTCTACATCACCATGAACTTCCCTCAATATCATCTGACACTGAAGGGAGCCAGCTCGAATTTTGAAGAATATAACATTATGCAAAGTATGTACCTTCAAGTGAAATCTTGGGTACAGCACTCCAGATGCAGAGAGAATTTACACAGAACTCCACCTATTTGACGTAAAGGAAGGATGCAAATGGGTATTTAGTCCTTATCTGCCTATCTAGACTTAATTCTATACGATCTATGCGTGTTATTCTTCTCCCCTCTTATCACCTAAGTAGCCAAAATATTATCTACTAGACATTATAACTACCATCCAAACATTTCACTGCATCAAGAATCTAATAGAAAATCGTTAAACAGTAAATCCACCAAAAATATTAAATGAAAACAGATGCTGCAATGAAAATATATACAGATTCGAGACATATTTAGATGTAAAAAACACAGACTCATAGCTTACTTAACAGCTTATTAACCAAGTTATAAGATAACACCGTTTGATAACCTTAGGGGGATCTTACCCGAGTCCATTTTCAGACCAGCTGCTTCATAGATTTCAATGGCACTTTGAAATCCCCATATCGACCAAATCTCTGTGGATCATAGTTACAGCAACTGCATATGTAACACCAGACCATATTTCTCTTGACTGCAATGTTGTCATGTCAACAGTTCCCACAAGTAGATCCCATTGACCGGCCCCTGCTGTGCATCCATTTTCTTTAAGACATTATAGTCAAAAACCTTCTCTAATGCTCTTCTTGCTTGGTCTCCATCAGCTATCGTTCACAGAGCACATGCACGTGCATAACTACATTAGAGACACACCTAGTAAGTTCCAGTCTTATCAGATTTGAACTAAAAAATATATATATTGAGAAAAGAAACATGTGAAACACTGTAAATAAATCAAGATTTATCAGGCCTGGGTATTTGAGAATATCAATGAATGAAGTTAATCAGTTGCAACATACCATCGTCCAGGAAACTGATCAGCTTGAACAGATGAACTTGTGCGGATACCAATTTTCATAGTGGAAGTCAGAACCATTCCCCAATTTCTCATACAAAACTTTTGCTTACTAAAATTTGCACCAGAAATAATCCTCAAACCCTTAAGACCTACTTCATGTGCAAATGCTGACGCAGCCTGCAACGCTGTCACCTCCACTATATGCACTTACAATAGAGACAGATCACAGGTCGTGTGTCTGATCAAGGAAGCCATCATTCTCAATCATCCCCACCACCATCCCTGTCAAATTTGAACAGATGAAAGTGTTTACTGAGAATTCTTCTTACCGTAACCAAAATAGAGCATTCGGGCAGCTGGATAAACTTTTGCAGGATTCTGATCCAAAAAGAGTTTTAACACTTTTGGACCAGAAATTGAGGAAGCTGGTTCAAACATTCACAATAATTTTTGGCCTTCATAAGTAACTGCATGACTAAGGACATTATAAATTCATTCGGCTTCACATTTCTCTCTGCCATTTTATGAAGGAGTTCAACAACTTTTGGCATCTCATTATTTTTGAGGAAACCAAACATGAGCGTACTAAATGTGACTACATCTGGAGCACAACCTTTTTCCTCCATATATGACAACAACTCATTTGCCTTTTCTAGTTCTCCACTGTTACAGAGCCCATTGATCAATGTGTTATACACAATCACATTAGGCCTAATCCCTTCTGAAATCATCTCTTGATAAAGACTAAGAGCTTTGTTGACTATTTTGTTCTTGCAATACCAATTGATTAAAGTAGTGTAGCTAACAACATCAGCTCTATACCCCTTTCCAGTTATAGAATTCAATAACTCCCTTGCATCATGAATTCTACCTGTCAAGCAATAACCATTCATTAAAATGTTGTAAGTATAAGAGTTGGGTTCCACACCTTGTTGAATCATAAGTTGCAACAACCTATTTACTTCGTCAAATTTCCCTTTCTTGCAAAGAAAATCTATGACCACACTAAACGTCACCACACAAGGCTGCAGACCTTGATCCATCATCGATATAAATAAAATTTTAACAATCTCCCAATCGCCCAGACGACAAAAACCATGAATTAGAATGTTATAAGTTACTACGTTCGGACTGATTCCCGAACTCTTCATTTCCAAAAATTAACTGTCTAGCCTTCTCAATTAATCCAGCCTTACAAAGACAATCAATTATAATACTATAGGTAAATACGTCTGGCCTACAAGTAACACCAGATTCTTCATTTCCCTTAGCCATTTCTTCAAGCAACTTAGTGGCAACACTTATCTTCCCTGTTTTACACAATCCATCCATCAAAGTATTGCAAGTGATGACATTAGGCCTACAACCAACGGCGACCATTTTCTTAAGCAATTCCATTGATTCCATAATCTTTCTCTCTACGCACAGACCTTTGATCAAACAAGTAAAGGTCACCAAATCTGGGCTAAAACCCTTCTTCAAAATCACCCCAAAAACCGCAAAACTATCCCATACCCTTTCAATATCATAGAAGCAATTCATCAAAACATTAAAAGAAATCAAATCTTGAGACAACCCAGTTGAATTCAACCACTTATAAAGCGAAATCACTTCATAATAATGCTTCTTCTTTGCAAGTGCACTAAACAATGTAGTGAATGATGAAATTGGAGAAATAGGTTGCAAATTAATCATGTAATAAAAAAAGTTCAATGCTTCATTCAGAGTAAAGTTGCCCGATCGACAATTTTCTTTGAGGAATTTTGCAAGTGAGGATCGTTCAAGGGGTTTTTCGAAAGAATACAAGACTTCATTTTTGGAGCTTGAAGTTGTGAGGTTGTGTAAGTGAGCCAACAAAGATGAAATGTTCCCTTTCAGAGATGAGTTTTGAGAGATTGAAGACGAACGAAATGGGGATCTCAAAGCCATGTATGAAGATTGAAGAGTGTTTTTCGGAAGAAAGGTCATTACAAAGTGCAAACTTATGTAAAGTATCGATCTTTCCTTTATTCATGATTTCGAAAATTGTTCACTTAGTAACCTGAAGGTTAAAAATGTAAATCCACGTTCAAGTGCTTTTCGGTTGGAGGTGGTTTTCTACTAAACCCAAATTCCAAAATTATCCGTTTGATCAAACAAAATGCAGCCAATTTATATAACAAAAATGCTATACCCACCCAACAATTGCATCGAAACACGTGAAATCCGCCACGTTGGACGGACGTGGCGGATTGAATACTAACATAAATGGACGGCCGTCCAACGGTTTCAGACGGGCGTCCATACATCCTGGACGGTCGTTCATAGCGGAATGGACGACCGTCCATAAAAAATTGATTTGGTTTTTTAAAAAAATCAATGGACGCCCGCCCAACTTTTATGGACGGGCGTATGTGGACGGGCGTCCATGTCAACTGGACGGTCATTCATAGTGGAATGGACGACCGTCCTTAAAAAGTTGATTTGTTTTTAAAAAAAATCAATGGACGCCCGTCCAACTTTTCTGGACGGGCGTCCAGTTAATATGGACGCTCATCCACATTATGTGGACGGGCATCCATACATCCTGGACGGTCGTTCATAGTGGAATGGACAACCGTCCATAAAAAGTTGATTTGTTTTAAAAAAAAAAAATGGACGCCCGTCCAAATTTTATGGACGGGCGTCCAGTTAATATGGACGGCCGTAGTCCATTTTTTGTGGACGGTCATCCATATAATGTGGATGACCGTCATGAAACGAAGCACTGCCGTCCATTGTTTGTGAATTCTTTTTATAAAAATAGTTTTAAAATATAACGGACGGTCGTCCACAAAGATGTTGAGAAGGTGGACTACTGAACAACCTACACTAGATGGACTGACATCCCCAATTTCTGAAATTTTAATTATTTTAAAATATAATGTAAATATGGATGGCAGTCCATGTAATTTGGATGGTCGTTTCTTGTGTATGGACGCCAGTCCATGTCGTTTGGACGGTCGTCTGCATTACATGGACTGGCGTCCATATTTGTTGAATTTTTTTTTGTTTCATTAATATTAATGAATGGCTTGTCTAATACGCTTCATTTGTAAGCGCCAAAAATTTTTCTTCTCTCCTCCTTCGTCTCCGTCGTTTGTTTTTCTTTTGTTCTTCGTTTGCGCCATTTGTTTTATTCGCTTCTCCTTCGTTGCTTTTCACTTCTCCTTCGTTGCGTCTCGTGATTCCTTCCTTCGACGCCGGTTGCTTCCTCAACAGCCAAGCACCAGCAGCAATAGCTCGTTTTATAAAGATAACTGAGAAACAGAACACTTCTATCAAACCTGTTAAAGGTCGGATTTTTTGTTAAGGTAATGATTTTTTGGCTTATTTTATATATTTATTTAGTTTCATATTCTATTTTGGATTGAATATATGTTTGATAGATAATATTTGTTGGCGACAGTTGTGAACTAGATTCGTGAACGTGAAAACTGGTATTAGTTGTGCATGAAATAACTGAATATGGAAGAGTCCAGTTTGCCTCGTTTCAATGATGTTGAGGTAAATTGTGTTTGAAACTTTTTTAAATATGGTGTATTGTATTGTTTATTATAATGTGTTGTATTAGCACATTCTAATTTTCTTTATTATAAAACCATTGAATCGGGAAAATGAATGTGATGAATTAGGAGATACGGGATGTGCAGAGGAAGAAGTGGAGCCTCATATTGGAATGGTATTTGATTCAGTTGATAGTTTGGTGAAGTATTACAAAAGGTATGGGAATAAAATTAGTTTTGAAGCAATGATACGTACGTCAAAGAAAGGAGATGATGGGGAGATAAGATACGTGACAGTGGCGTGTTCTTGTTCTGGGAAGGAGAGAAGTAAATGCAGAAATACCTTGAAAAAACAACTTGTTGCAAAAACAGATTGTAAGAGTCGGATTAGTGCATATTTGAATGGTGAATACAAATGGGAAATTAAATCAGTTGTGCTTGAACATAACCATGATTTTACAAGTCTGACGAAAAGAAGATATTTCAAGGTAAACCGAACGATATAGCCTTTTGTGAAAAGGAGGCTTGAAGTTAATGATTAGGATGGGATTAGACCGTGTAAAAATTTTCAATAATGTTCAGTTGAGGCAAGAGGTGTAGAGAATTTGACATTTCTGCAAAAAGATTGTAGGAATTACATTGAAAAAGTTAGAAGGCTACAAGTTGGAGTTGGAGATGCTTCGGCAATGCTAGATTATTTCATGAAAATGCAAAAGGAGAATTCAAATTTCTGGTACATGATTGATGTAGATGAAGAGAGTCGATTGAAGAGTGTGCTATGGGTTGATGCTAGATGTAGGGCCGCATATAAAGATTTTGGTGATGTTGTGACCTTCAACACAACGTATCTGAGGAACAAGTATGATATGTTATTTGCTGCTTTTGTGGGGGTTGATCAACATTCGACATTATTAGGTTGTGGGTTAATTTCTTATGAGGACATAGAGAAATTTGTATGGCTATTTCGTTCTTGGCTTGAATGCATGGATATTGCTCCTAGACCTGGCAAAACGGGTGGGTGGGCCGGGTCAAACGGGTACGGGTCCTTATACGGGTTGAGATATACGGGTCCAAAATATTGGACCCGTGCCCTACCCTATACGGGCCTGGTGGTGGACCAGTTTTTTCTCTCTCCAGATTTTAGTTTTTCCTTCACCCCTAATAGTTTTCAATTATGATAGTTACACCCCCAAAATTCCTACAGTTTTAATTTTTTTACATTTACACCCCCTAAATCAACTACTCTAAATTTAATTCAATTTAGAATATAAACAAATAAGAACCAAAATAAACAAATAACACATAAACAAACAATAACATATAATACAAAACTACAAATACCAGCCAAAATAAACAAATATAAAATCACTAATCACACAATTACACATAAACAAACAAAATAAGTCAATAAACTATAACTACCAACTAAAATAAACAAATACATAATCCAATATTCAACAAAAAAATATTCTTAGGACAGCAAATGTTCATCCCACAGTGAGCGTGATAGAGTCTCTTGATTCCACAGTCTCGAGATTAGTTAATGGCATATCAAGATCATCATCCGATATCATCATTCACCTTCATCTACAAACAATAATCAACTAAAATATTAATAAATGTAATAATAATATATGAAATATTATTTACATACCTTCAACTCATATCCATATATTAATTGATGGTTAATATATATTAATTGATAATGGATTAACTATATATTAATTGATGATTAACTATATTTCTTCTTTGTATAAAATTGTTCGGTTTATTTTCCACTAGACATGATTTCTTCTTTATAAAATTGTTCTATTTCTTTCCACTAGGCATGATTTCTTCTTGATGTACATGCTTCTGGATTGCTGCCGAGATTTGGCAATTGCATTATTTAATTTTTTCATTAATTAATGGAGTTTAGGTGTCGGTGGTTTGCATGCAAGCCAAGATAGAATTTTCCCCACATTCACAATATACACACTGCGTACAAACAATATTGCATTTTGAATTTCTCTTGTATGCATGCTAATTCACCACATAAAAATGAAGAAATATTATCCATATTCCACAACATATTGCCCAAGCAGTTAAACTGGCACTAACCTTCTCTTTCTAATGTGCATGACAGGGGAAATCTCCCTATGCACCCCGAGAAGCTAGAAAGATGTAGAAAGTTTGGTCCCAAGATGTTAAAAAAAAACATTCAATTACAATAAGTTGCAGTCCAGGTTCAATGATTTCACTTCAGAGACATCCTCCAACACAATGATATCAATATCCAAGAAATCCAAAAACTAGCATAAAGCAGCTCCATACTATTGCATGCAGACAAGCATGAAGCAGTACCAAGCCTAACAGGATGCATATCAAATATCAGTTCCCGAGATGGGATTGACATACTCAAGGGCATCACAAAGAAGAGTGCAGTGCAACATTAGTTGATCTGCTAACTACAACCATACACTTGAGACAAGATTCCCACGAAGTCTTATCTAAAACAAGGTTAAGTACAATTTTGGTTATATTCAGCATTGACCGACTCAAAATCCATAAACCAACTAACTCTCCTTTCTCCAATTGTGAAGACAACAAAACTCAAATTAGAATAAAAGAGGAAAAAAAAAAGGAAAAATACTTTAAGCCATGCAGCAACTAGGGAGAATAAAGGCAATACAAATAATCCATAAAACAAATAAACCGTGGAAAATAGGGGTGAATAACACTCTGTATGAATGCTGCACAGGGAAATTTGGACCAACCCTCACTCACACGTCTACCTAAAAGAGTTGTACATGTTTTGCAACAAATTAACTCAGTTCAATAGATATATAATTCAGCTCTAGTAAGTCCCCATCCCTAAATGGCAGGATCAGCTAAGAGATGCAAAACTGAAATTTTAGTACCTCTGTATCAAAATTAGGGATCTGTGAATAGGTAATTCGATTCTGCCTTGCCAAAAGAGATTATCCTTCCACACTTCAAGTTTCTTTTACTTGGAAGCCTGTCTTTATATCAGTGTAATAATCTGCAAAGATGAAATTCCAAATCTGTAATGAGTTGGAAATTTGTAACTCCTTCACTTGCAAAACCCATCAACCAGGGGAACCCATCACAAACACACTCAACGAAACAACACAACACACTCACACACCAAATATGAGTAGCCAATAACCTACTTAACCATTCAAACAAAAAGAAAACACAAAACTGTCAAAAAACAAAACAAACACACAAAATTAGGGGTTAGGGATTCATTACAGGCGATGAGGATGAGTGACGAGACCGCGACTGTGGTACTGCCTACTGGGAATGGGAATGACTGAGAGGAGAACACGATTATTGAAAGGGAGACACCAGACAGGGAGTTGAGCTTCAGGCACGAAGAAGACTGATGAAGATTGAGATGAGAGGCAGGAGATATTTGAGT